AAAATCTAGGACAGCTACCTAACACCTCTAGCAACACCGCTACCCGCAGCGGTACTTGCGCGGCTAATAGCAAGAGCATCGCTAGATAAGAAGAATTAACAAGGAACCCCTAAGACTACCCTATAGGCAGCAGTGTTTATAGTGGGTATCTAAGCTAGAAAGGTTAGAAAATATAAAGGAGTAGCTATAGATAAGGCTACGATTATAAAAATGCTTACTAAAGGCTTAAAGCCCTATTGTAGTTAGCTACTATCTCTGCTAACATGCTAAACTAAGCTTAAGGACTACCTAATAGGAGAACTATTTAAGGAAGCAGAATAGTCTTATCTAGTAAGCTACTATTAAATAAACTTACAGATAGAGATCTCTACAAAGAAAATTAAGTAAATAAGATAGTAAATCCTAGATTATATATAAGTATACACCTATAAACTTAATAAGCATTACTAACTACTTAAGTATAGGGCATAACTAGTTATCCGCGGTAATTGGTAGTAAAACATTACATTGTAAGACATATAAGCAGCAACCCTTATAAGTTAATCGTTCTAAATACTAACTATAACTGTAGTAAAGTATAACCTAGAGCTTGAATAGTACAACGTAGTAAATACCTTCGTGCATGTAATAATAGACTAAGAAGTATTTGTAAGAGTACTACGCAGCTATTAGAAGCTAGGTACTATACTTAAGCTTAACAAGGCATTATATAGACTGCGCATATCTCCGCTCCTCTAGTAGAAAGAGTTTATAAGCACTCTTAAAGAACTTAGTTTCTAAGAAGTACCTTACGAGCCCTGCTGTCTTATTAAAGGCGGTATTATTATCTTCTTCTACGTGGACGACATTATACTAGTATACTATAAAGATATAGAGCAATCCGCCTAGTAGGTAATTACCCGCCTATAGGAGAAGTACCTCTTTATAAGGGGAAATAACCTATAATAGTTCCTTAGCGTCGAGATTATTAGAGATCGTAAATTAAGGACGATCTAACTGTCGTAGGCGGCCTACGCAGATAAGATTAGTAGACTGGCCGACCATACTAACATTAGACACGACACGCTAATAGTGACTGCCGAGCTACTCCCTAGAGATAGGCTCGCCTGCCTATTAGAAATTAATAAATACTAGCGTAAGATAGGCTTACTCCTCTTTATAGCTGTAACTACTAAACTAGACATCGCCTTTGCGACGTCGCAGCTCGCCCGCTTTCTCTCTAATCTAGAACCAGAGCACTATAACGCTGCCGACCGTGTTCTTCTATATCTACTAGCGATAAAACACCTCGCGCTATAACTTAGAGGAGGTACTAGACTATAGATAGCTAGCGACGCCTCCTTTGCTAATAATACCCTAGATAGGAAGAGCTTATAAGGCTACATGATTAAGCTCTTTAATAGACTTATCGCATAGAAAGTAAATAAATAAGACACTATTACAACATTAACGACAGAAGCTAAGCTTCTCACCCTATCTTAAGTAGCTAAGGAAGCTCTATTCCTGTCCCGCCTCCTTAAGGAGCTGAACATCTAGCTTAACACCCCTAGTATTACTATTTAATGCGACAATAAACAGACTATTCGCCTAGTTACTAAGGAGGTCTTAAAGCTTTAAACTAAACTTAGATATATTAATATACACAACTACTAGATTAGACAGGAGGTGTCGATAGGCTAGATCTCCGTAGAGTACACGCCTACCGTTGATATAATCGCCGACGGTCTTACTAAGCTATTACTACTAAACAAATAGCTAGAATTCCTAGAACAACTAACTAGGACTAGTCTCCGCTAAAGAAATTCTGGCGAGAAACTCAGCACTACTTAAAGAAATTCAAGAAAAACTTAAAAATCTCGTGGTAAGCCTTAAGTAGAACTAAGTGCCTAGCTTATAAGCGTAAAGAGCGTCTAAGCTAAAGGGGTGTGTTAGATAATAGTACTGTTGAAGATGAGAGCGTACAGACGCTGGGTTAGACTAGCGCGACCCGGCATCTGTGAGAGCTAATCGGATCACAGGAAGGCTTGGCACCCCCTAGGTGTTCCCACAACCGTAGACAGAACCAAGAAACAATCAACATCATCACCATTATTACCTATTTCATCAGTATTCCAGATGAGAGTGAATATCTGACAAAGGTAGTTAAAATGCTTAGTAATACTTATCAGCGAGCTATTTATATACGTCTAGATCCTTCGCTTTACTAGCGTTAATTATAACCCTAATTCTAGGGTATTACGAGGGGTTTATAACTACTAGGGCGAGTCACTAATAGATAGTAATAATTGAGTCTAGATGCGGATATTAAGGCCTATTGTAATAAGTCAAGGTTAAATAGAACTAATCCGGCCCTTCTAAACTCTTCTTAGATATTACTAAAAGTAATCGCGGCGTTAAAGACCCGCGTATATGTAACAGGCTACATGTAAGGAGTATTCGAACAGGCACTAAGATGTAGGTATAGGCTTGTATTAAGACGAATCCTTAAGAAAAAATCAAGGATTCAGTGAGATGATATATACGACTATAGCACGTGACTGTAGCTGGCTTGGGCCGATAGGTCTCCGAAGGGGTCCTTAAGACCTACCGAAGTATGACCCAGCTGTAGTATCGTGACAATTAGCACGAGCTCTAACGCGCTCCTCCTACGGTATTGTAATGGGCGTGAGTCTATAAGACTAGTGGCACGACTACATACGCCACGCTTTGCGCAAAAGTGTCAGAATATGGGCATATTTTGGGTGGTGGACAAAATCCGGGTGTTCGGAGCTGTGGATTCTGTGGATCAGTTAAATTAGTCAGCGCGCACAATCCACCGCGACCCAACTGATCGAACAGCGTTGGACAACAGAACAACACGAGATCAGACCAGAACAATACAATCGATCCCCATCATATTATTATACTACTATCCCCGTCTTTGATAACCCATCACAATCTGACAAAAAGGCATGCACAAGTTGAATCAATGCGATTCAGCTTGCGTAGTTGATATTTATGTAGGAGGCATAACTGCGCTGCTCTCTCTCAGCCTACAAGTAGGCATACATGGGTCTAGCCCATCACTGGTATAATAGTACTAACTCGCTAGGTCTTAGTCTTTCGTTTCTAGGGAGATTCTACAGATTTATTAGCTTTGCGCTTTAATAACTAAGCTTAGGCGCTCTTCGCTAGAGTCTTGGATTTAGTATCCTCTTTAGAGGTCTTACTATAGGTAGATTTACGCCTACCCTATGACGCGATTAGAAAAAGCTTAAAAATAGGGAGCACTAGATACGAGAAACTTACTACTATAATAGAGAAAAGCTTACGCACTAAGCGCTAATAGCTAGAAAGACGAGAACGGGCTAATAGAAAGTGGTTTGTAATCGCGACAAGAATTGTTATAGTGTTTCTTATAACACTAAGATCGCGGGGTAATAACAAGAGCTAGTGTGAGGGATCGATCAAGAAAGATTGGATTTGACAAGATACAAGCTATCGAGCTATCTACGTTGTGAGCCCGAACTTATGCTGTGGGCGCCAAGGCGCTAGTCCGATAAGATAAGGACCTCATTGATATGGCGGCCATGGGTCGAGCGAGTCTATGGATCCGTAACAGCTAGGTATGCAGCAGAAGCGAAAAACACGCTAGCGGAGATAACTAAGATCGCAAACTCTAGTTACCCCGCTCGTAAACGATAATAATATAAGCTTTAAGCCTAACTAATTAGACTCTTAACATAAGTGCAAGAATCTAGAGGGTGTATCGCAGTAAAGCTCTATTTCATACTTACTTGGTGACGGAGCTCTAACACCGAGCTTGCACCTTCCCTTTATAGACTAGTACCCAACAGAGCTCGCATATAACGAGCTCTCATCTCATAGATAGTAAGATAATAATCCTCATCCCAATTATTCCTAAGCTCGTACTTGCAACAGTTGACTATTAACGTTATCATTATTATTACCAATTTCATCAGTATTCCAGATAAGAGTGAATATCTAACAGCTACACTTAGCTTTAGTACTCTCTATAAGCTCGAACTAGCCTCTAATGATTATAGGATTCTCGTAGAGGGCTCTCTTATAGTCGTACTTTTAATTAAACTTAACTCTAAGCTTAGGGAGACGCTTAACGAAGTTTACAGCCTAGCTCTTACTGTAATGGGCTAGGCCCAGTCGGATAAGACTCGGCTGGAAGCCTCGGAGACCAGAACATCAGAGCCTGCCGATACCGGACGAAGGACCCGCCCGACAAATCGGTTACCGGTAAAGATATCCGGAAGCCGGATAGCCCTCTATAGATCTTAGGTTAACGAATTCATCTGATTCTTTCTGGCAATTACCCTCAGGGCCGGCCCCTTTCACTTACTAACTACAGTAGCTTCTGGTAATAAGTCGTAAGTAGAGAATTAGCTATATCTTCTATATTAGTAAGCTAGGGTAGGTATCTATAGTTAACTATATTTATTGTATGCTAAATAACTGCTACTTCTTTAGATCTACGAAGAGCTATTATTTTAGGCATATAGTCGCGTCGTGAAGGTGTCCTAGACAGACGCCTTCGTAATATTATTTTTGGAACGCTAAAGATCGCTGCAGCGCGTTGTATCTTTAGTATTGCGTCTTATTAAATAGCCTGAATCGCAGTCTATATATTAGCTTTCTTTAAGACTTTTTTAGTTTAGTTATATTGAGGCATCACGTATAGAGTGTGGTTTTGGTGGGGTCTTGGCAAAAGTGCGCCGCATGCTTGTGGAGTACGTTATAATTTATTAAAAGCTTATATCACTCACTTTATTTACTATGTGGACCTTAGAACTTGGTAAGATATTTGCGGCAACTAGATTAGCAGTTAGAAAGACCCGTCTAGCTCAACCAAAGAAGTCAGTGAGCTTCGACCCAGACACGAACTTTTTACCTGGTTGTGAAAAGTGCCGCCTCATGCGCAGAAGCCCAAAAATTTTAGCTGGAAATCATAGCTGTCCTCAAGGCTTTGGGAGATGGCTCACACCAGTATGATGTACGACGATTTCGAACAGCTACTGGACCTCAAAGTTCGCGCTACGTTTCGTGTACGTGATGGAAAAGAAGCTGCGGCGCTACAAAATGCTTTCCAAACACAGATGAATGCCTGCAATCCACTAGTCACATCTCCCCGTACGCCTATCCTCCTTCGATACCATTCACTCGGCGAGAAAATCTTAGGCATATTTACGGCAATGCAGGCGTAGAAGTCCCGTGGAGAGTGGAATGAAGCCGATGACGAATGGCGGATGGCAAAGGCTCTTATTCTCTATACAACACGTGAGGGAGCACTTGTATCGCTCGAGTTTGTGAGCGATACGCAAGAAGAGCGAGACGTCGGTTGGTACATTGAGAAGTTGAGGCGGGAAATTCCTGCCAAAAACCTAGGTGTCCCGCCATACGTTCAGCTCCAAATGTTGCGGGATGCTGAAGTGTCTGCCTTCAACGCAGAACTGTAGTTAGACGGGTGAATAAGTCTAAACCCAAGATTGAATTATATTTAAACGGCTAAAAGTCCCAGACTAACACTACAAGTCCCGGCTTCCACTAAATTTGTGCAATTGGAATAGTATTATACACTGTATAGCTCTTTGACCCCCAGTAAATGCTTAAACATTTTGCCATGCTCCTTCACTTACTAGCCCCTGTAACGTATTGTTACACCGCTCTTATATTGTTTTACGATTAGCGTAGAAACCTCAACTTAACTGTCAACCCAATGGTGCGTTCAATCGTCGGTCATGTGCCTGTGGCTCTCGTCTTCTCGCACGAGGACGTGCGACGTTTTATCAAGTGGCAAGAAGAACGTTACGACAATTTCGAGCCAGGTTTCATACGAGCCCCCACTGAATACTGAAAATTCCTCAACTACAGGCGTGGCAATGACGCTCTTGCTCAATCTGAGCTGGATAAAACCCGGGTCCGGAACAAAGTCCCGCAATAGCGTGCGGACACGAGCTGCATCCTTCCGGTTTTGTTACTGATGGCTATCATCCCATCTGCGAAGTGGAGTTTTGCCTTAAATTTTTTGCTGCTATCGGGAAAGTCTTCCAGCAATGCGGTGGGCCATGGAAACAAGCGTACCGCCTAAATCAATACTATATTGATAGGAGATCATGGCATATAGCATGCCTTCAACTGAGCAAGCTTGTGTGTCTGCTCGATATCTCCATAATGTATGAAGAAATGTAGGAGAGAGAACATGCGAAAGATGCTGGCATAATCTGGACTACCAACAGTGCTACGAAAGCCCTGTAGAAAGCTGAAATGGAACACAAATACCTAGCGGTTAATAACAAGTAATATAGTTTAGCTCAAACCTCCTGTAAGCGAGCCATATTGAAGCTCGACGAGGCGGAGGCCAAGGAGGCCAAGTCTAGAGTCAAGAAGTACGTCACTTTTGCGGCAGATGCAGTCATGAATCTAGTGAGGAACATGGCATGTTTTTATCGCCAGTCCACAGATAGGTACTATTACCTACCAGGAAGACATGCAGCTCCACCTGACTTCGAATGGGCGGACACTTCACATGTCTCTTCTCTCATTGCAAATATTTGCAGCCTATGTTGCGGAACCGGCAATTAGACCACTCGATGGAAAAAAAATGAATCCTCAACAACCATCCAGGGATAGGGAAAGTAACCGTGTTTCAATCAATCGATGGACACCAAGGAGGGTCAAAAGAATCTGCGCAAATTTGTCAAAGAGGCTGATGCCCTTGTAGTCCATGTTGAAGACCCGATTCGATAAAAGATTTATGATTCTCATGTTCTGAAGATGTAGAGGACGAAGTGGGCTATAACGACAAAGACGTGGATCGAACACGGCGGGCCTGCCAAGCTGAATGTGGCGCTGAGTTTGAGCCCACAGTCATCACCGCTGCCAGTCTAGCAGAAAGTATTGCCATTCCGGAGAACAAGCATGCATCGAAACGTAGGAAGACAGACGAGATCGGCAAGTAATACCAATCCAGGAGTAAGAACTGTTCCAATGCTCATTTTGCGAAGTGTGAGACGGTATATGTGCAACAGCATTGCCTCACTATATGTGCAGACAGCTGCCCCGGGTTCAGGATGAAACTCTAGTACGCTAAATCAACCACAATAATTTTAGACCATAGGTACGTAGTTGAAATTGAGAAACTGCCATTGCTCTACATGCTTTACCTTGAGACCATGTCCACGATGCTCAAGCAATACATGTTGAGGTAACAATCACACCGCCGCATGTTCCTCATTCCACTCCCTGCTGAAAGGATAGTCAATGTATCCCTTTTCGCTCTTCGGAACATAGAACGTGTCTCGGTCGTACGGAGTAAACTCAATACCCTTTTGCAACCTGTATACGAGATCGGGGGTGGAAATAAAGTACCGTCCAAATACCGCCACAATTTCGCGATCCTTGTGCGCCTCGATAATTTTCTTTGCCGAATCGGCCTTGAGACCCCCAGCAATCAGCAACTTGCCAGAATAGTGCGGGAGTAGAGGATCGAGAGACTCGTAGCCTTCTACATCTGCATTACCTGACACTCTCGCCTCTACGAGATGCAGATAGGAAAGATCAAACGCATCCAGTTTCTGCATGATGTGGGTAAATTGTGGAAGGGGGTCTTCCATCTTCATACCCTGGAACTCGGAAAATGGACTTAATCGAATACCAGTCTTGTCTGCACCTACGGCCTGTGCAACGGCCTGGGCGACCTCAATGGCGAACCGGGAGCGGTTCTCAACGGAGCCTCCGTACGAGTCGGTACGCTTGTTGCAAGTGTCCTGTAGGAACTGGTCGATCAGGTAGCCATTTGCGGCGTGAATTTCGACTCCATCGAAGCCAGCCTGGATGGCGTTTTTGGCAGCTTGAGCGTAATCGTTCACGCTTTCCTTGATCTCATCCAAAGTCATTTCCTTTGGAGTAGCATAGCCTTCGCCTAGGGGTGTCGCACTAGAGCTCTTGATCGTGATGCCGTTCTTCTCGGCAAATTCTTGGTTTGCCACACGCCCAAGCGCCCATAGTTGCAGGTAGATGAATGAGCCCTTCTTGTGCACTGCCTCTGTGATGGGTTTCCAGGCATCGATTTGGGCTTGTGTGTAGATCCCAGGAACATTGGCATAGCCTCCAGATTGTTTTGAGATAAGAGTGGCTTCGGTGATGAGAAGTGTGCCGGGCACGCAGGCGCGCTGACCGTAGTACTGGGCGGCCATGGGAAGGACCTCGTGATCGTCATTGGCACGGAATCTGGTTAGAGGGGCCATGGCGATGCGCTGTTTCAGCTCAATGGAGCCCAGCTTGATGGGCTGGAAGAGACGTTCGGCGGCCATTTTGATAGTGTGGGCAGTTGATTGGGGGGAATTCCGAGAATTAGATGGTTTACAGATCAGTATGGAAATCAATGAGAACTGCGTGAGCTGCTATGCATGGACGAACAGTAGAATTGCTCTTATATAACTTTTAGAACAGATGTTTCGCGTGCGGTCCTCGGGTTTGAAATCAAAACCCGCAGCTCGGCAGATCTCGGCATTTGCACGGCAAGCCCGGATGACGTCGATTTTTCCATCACTTCTATTGAAATCCTTGCAGGTTTGCCCTTCAGAACAGTCTAGTCTAGGACTAAGCAAGTAACTTGCCAAGATACGTGATTCCTGAACGCGATACGGTGGCCAAATGGCATCAGCGATTGTTGGTGTTGCATCGTTCCGAGCCGCGACCTAATCAGCAGATCCCCACTTGTCAAACATCTCCAAAGCACCCAACTGCATAACAACACATCGTTTCGAAGATCGAGGCGATAAAGACGACCAGAACTGTGCGTACACTTGGCTTTGACAGTTACTGATCATGCTGTCAGAAGGTCTTTGGCGCTTTGCAGTTGCCTTTCCAGATCTTGGTGCCACAACCATGCAAAACTGTCGTCGAGTCTTTCCTCAATCTTCTCCATGTCATCATGTATCCCCTCATCCATAAAGTCATACACCAGAGCTGTATCCATACTACGTTTTATACATTCCTGCGTCCGTGGCCTTCTCACAGCGTCGTATGCCTGGAATACTTTCTCAATGTCTCCAGTGCTGCCCACAGCAGCTACAAGATGACTGAGTATATATGCATCCTCTATTGCCATACCGGCTCCAGCGCCCATATGTGGTGTCGTGGCATGCGCGCTATCACCCAAGAGACAGACACGGTTTCTGAAGTACGGAGCGTCGTGCTGCAGGACAAAGAGTGCCCATTTGGTCGGGAGGTGATGTCGTGCGATAAGATCAATGAGCGGCGGATACCAGTCTTTGAACTTTTCTCGAATCTCATCTGCACTTGTAGGCACTGTCCAATTGTCGTGGTTCCAACTGCGGTTGGGAGGTACATCTTGCGGCATGGCAACGACGTTGAGGAATTTTCCGTGTTCGATAGGGTATGTGATTACGTACCCCCCGTAACCACAGTATAGCTGGCTGTTAAGGGTCATATCTTCACCCAAAGCTTTTATTGCCTCACTGCCTGGTACCAGGGCACGGAAAGCGCACTCTCCGGCATATTCCGCTCGAATATCAGAGCCACACACGTAATTGCGAACTTTGCTGCGAATACCGTCGCAGCCGACGACAGCGCTAGCTAGAGTAGTCGTTCCATCCGTAAAGGCCAGTTCAATTGCACCATTACCCATTTCCTGGATACTTTGAAGACTCTTGCTAAGGCTTGTGATGCCCGGTGGTAGCAGGGCTACCATCTCATCTATCAATCGTGCCCTGTGTATGCGACCTCTCATCCGGAGGCCATCGGGTAAATCCTTAGGGCCTGAATTGTCGTCCTGATAAAATGCAAAGTCTCCAGCCTTGTGTCCATTCTGCTTTCTTTCATCCATGCCCCATCTGATCGTGTTAAAGGTGTTACTACGCTTAGGGTTTATATTGAAGGTCGCGTGTTTCGTGAAGCCTTGCAGCAGCCGGGGATCAAGCAGTTGTAACGCTCTAGTTGCGTTGTTCCAAAATCCAATGCCGGCACCTATCTCGGAGAACGCAGGCGACGCTTCGTAAATATGGACTTTGATGCCATGCCTAAGTAGGCCAATTGCAAGGCTAAGACCGCCGAGACCGCCACCGACGATCGCAATAGGAAGCCGTTTATTGTTTTGGGGTGCGGAATCGCTCATGTTCGTGACGGTGGGTAGAATCTTGCAAGTAGATCAGGTCAAGTAGAGCGCCAGACGTGGCGCTCACTACAGTCCGTGCGCAGTCAACGAGCCAGTTCAGTCAACGAGCCACCCCACCAATATGGGACGATCAAAAAGATGAGGTTATTAAGCCACACACAATAGCTATTATCGTGAGATTTTTTAGTGTATTAATATATAGAAGCTTCTAGAGCGTTTGCACTACTTATATCTCGCGGGCGTCCTAAGTTTGCGGTCGAGCAGGCCAAATTTAGGTGGGGGAGACGCCTTAGGTAGACCAGCGTCAACCTAACTTAATGCAGCACTAACACGACGACGCTTTGTTAGTTTTTCTGCTACTTTATGTAAGGCTTTTCGCTTAGGCTTATTTGCTGTATCGCGACTTTTTTAAGTGGTTGCAGCTTGTTGTTGTTGCTTTTTAAGCGCCTGTTCTGCTGCCTTTTCTTTAGCGCGCTGTTTCTGCTCGCGATCTCTCTCTATTTTAGCTTGTTGTCGAGCCGCCTTTGCGGCTGCCTAATCCTACTTTTTGTGAGCTGCTTCTACTGCTTTTCTCTCTCTATCGCGAGCTTTTTGGAGTTGTAGCTCCGCGGCTTCGTCTAGTTCTGCGGCCTTACGCGCGCAGACGCTAGCAAGCTTCCTAGAACTATAGAATACAGCTCCGCCGTGCTAATCGTCGCCCTCTTAAGTAGTTAGTGTTGTTGATTTAGACGGGCGCGATCTTATAAGGTCGAGTTTAGCGCGTAGCTCCGCGTTTTAGAGGTAGAGAAGCTCGTTGTTAACCTACAGCGAGTGCAGGCCTTAGGACAGCTATTTAGCTTTAAGTTTAGCCTTGTTAGCTACCGCAGCGTCAAAAATTTTGCGCAGCTAAGGCTAGCTATCGCCGTCGCCTTGCTCTCTAATTCCTAGCTCGTTATCTTATTATTGTGGGTGGTTGTTGAAGCGTTGAAGTACTAGGTCTGCGTCCATCGGCTATACGCCTGTAGCTTGAAAACTTTTTAATATAAGATCGTGAGTTATCGTAGAGCTCTAAGCTAGCTAAAAGTTGCTATAGAAGTCGCGTTTAGTAATTCTTAAGAGGCCTTAGGTTCGCTAGAGGCGTTAGGTAAGCTCCTTAGTGTAGTGCTTCGAAAGCGGCGAAAAGAGCACGACATCTAACGGCTGCAGACTGTGAGTTAAATAAGGTGGATACACTATAACTATAATGCGTTTAGCTTTACAATACTCTAAAAAACTAGGCGTAAGGTGGCTAGCGTAGCCGTTAAGGATTAGAAGGCGCTATTACCGGCGAGCTTTGGCTGCTGTATAGCGTTCGAAGACCTGTTAAAGCTAGGCAAGTCTTAAATTATTATTTAACTACCCTAAAGCTAAGTAGGATACGAAAACTTAGTGTTGATCGGCTAACAGGTTGTTAACCTAACTTAATTAAACCCTAGAGATGCCCTAGTAGATAAGAGCGGGCGGCTGTGAGGGATCGATCAAGAAAGATTGGATTTGACAAGATACAAGCTATCGAGCTATCTACGTTGTGAGCCCGAACTTATGCTGTGGGCGCCAAGGCGCTAGTCCGATAAGATAAGGATCTTATCGATATGGGAGCCATGGGCCGAGCGAGTCTATGGATCCGTAACAGCGGCAATGCCTCTCTAGAAGCGCATACGCAAGCCAGCAGCGTTACCTATTCTCTATTACTATCTCTTATCGCCGCAGTACGCTCCCTTGACTTATAAACTGCCTTAGAGAAGATCCTTTTCCTGCGGTAGGCGATACTAATAAAGAAGCCCTTCTTATCTATATTATACGTGTTGCGCTCTTTAATCTCATATTCTCGCATCTTAGAGTGTAGCAAGTTAAAGTACAACTCGTATTTACGCTTGTTGTTAGCTAGGTGACGCTCACGATCTATACTAGTGTCCTATTTGGTAATAAGCTCGTCGGGATGACGGTGTTGAAACTAGGTAACCTAGCTATTGGAGACCTTATGCTGCGCAACCGCGGTGCCGAAATTTCTTAAAATACTTCGTGTAGGTAGTACACCGTCTCTTGTAGTCCCTTCTATATATCTAATAAGCTCATCCTCTTGTTGTAGGTTAAGGTTTCGTCGATCTTCGGCCGCCTGTGTGTCCCTGGGTCGCTGTGCGCCCCGGTGCCTCCGCGACAGCGTCGTTCGATCAACTCCAAATATTTTTGCAACTTAGCGGTATAAGAATTTATCTCCAGCCTTACGCGATTCGATATATTCAATCGCTTCTTGAATCGGGTCCATGGTTGTGGAGTTATGACGCGTTGAAGTTGGGTGGGTTCATGAGGCAGCAGGGGTTGGGGTGGCTCGTTGACTGAACTGGCTCGTTGACTGCGCACGGACTGTACAGGCCGCAGGCGATCTTCATAATACCCTACCTAAGCACAGAGGCAGTAAAGTGATTTATTAATTACTAATCTTAGACTAACGTGAGTGCTAGGCGAGTGGCCATGCTAGGCGAGTGGCTACCCTCACCAACTCTTACGGCTTTAGCACGTTAACTACGCCTCGCTACCTTTCGGTGATGTAAGCTCACATGCAATTTGCGTACTAGCCTTTTACGGAGCGGCAGATATAGTTCGCCTATAAATAAAAAATAGGCGTATACAGCGTAAAAATAACAATAATCAATGACACACAACAGCCTTGCGAGATCTGCCCCTACATTATACTATCTCGTCAGCAGTATTGCGCAGACCTAAGGCTTTAGTTATTGAGGTTCGCAAATCATTGAAAAAGCACATAGAACATCAAAGGTTTGTTTGGTGCGCGCTGCGATGGCGTTTCTGACACGCACCGATACGGCCGGTCGTAGTTATTAAGTTAGGTACTTACTTAGGGACGTGGGGAGCCCCGGAGATAAGTGCGCACAATCAACTCACCTAGACACCCACCACCGCAAGCCTCAAGCCGATGTAGGCAGCCTGAAGCCTGAGAATGTCTTGTGTCTCTCTCTACGTAGACGCCGTATTTTATTCGGGCAATATAACTGGTCATTGCTCGAGCGAAGAGGCTGCCTTTCGCCCCATGCGGTCGCCCTGGATGCGTCCTGCCTGTTATAGTGGCTGGCTTGGCCCACCAATGGCTCTCTGAAGCACTCACTTTGGTGTGCATTTGGTGTGCATTTGTTATGCGATCTGAACATTCCAGCCGCAACTTTGACATAGTCAAATGTGTTCAGCTAGAAAAGCCGCATGGCAACCAAATACCAGAAGTCCGCCTGATCGTGGCAAGGCTCAACGCTCGCACTTTTCACTCCATCATGGGCAACAATGACGATAAGGACTACCCCTTCAATTTGCCGACGTATATCGCAGCCTTCGACGATGGTCAACTTGCAAGTCAGGAGTTGAAACACGAACGGAGGTCGTGGCGTTCAGAGGGCTATGCGGAGGACTCACACATACAAATCTTTGATCATAACCACGGAATAGGCACGATTGGCTTCCACAACGATGATGGGATTGACAAGTTGCTGGTAAGCCACATACCGTAATCATTTGGCTTCTTGGTGCTCAGTCCCAGTCTAGGGTGAAGCTCCACCCCAGGTGCGATTCGTCCTGATACTACCGATGGTGCATGAGCGCATAGCAGACACGGCATCCCAGGTCATCGAAACGGCAGATCTGTTCAGGAGAAATGAGCTTTATGATGATGGTTCGATTGATCCCTCAGAGCCAGAGCCACCTGTTCGATGGGAGGCGAGCAGGTTCAATATCTCAAGACGCTCCCTCATCAAGATCTTGACAAAGTATGACATCGCGCCTGCCGCATGCTCGCATCTGAGAGGCCAAGAACAGATATTTGGTTCAAGAGTCACCAAAAGTGAACAAGGCCATGTGCAAGGGTTTGGTAAGTAAAGTGCACGTCATCTCGTCCAAGTTACTCACCCCTTACACCCAGAATTTTGGTATGCCATCCGCGCACGAGCATACTTTCGCGAGGTAGATATGGATGCCGACCTCAAGATCACTGTCGTGACAAAGTACAGCCCTGCGACCAACTCTACAATTGTGTTGCTAAAGTACAGATCATACAACGATCTAACGTGTAAGCTCAAGTTGGAGCTTATGTCGAAGCTGTATGAGCTCGTCACCGAACCCAGCACGCAAGAAGTGGCGAAAAGCCCGTTTGCTATTTCTTTACTGCACTTCAACTCAACCGCACAATGGTACCGACGAGCTGCGCGAGACCCAAGAGATAGCGTGCGAGGTGAGGAGGAGAAAGCACATGTCAAGTCAGAGGATCAAAAGAACGAAGTTAACGCCATCAATGTGCGGAGGCTACATCTAACCATGCGAAATCTGGACCAAGACAAGGTGCAGCTTACATTCATCCTCGACGTGATCGATAGGCTGCGCAAACAACACGATCTATTTTACAGGCTTGTGAGAAAGACACCGGACCAAGACCAACGCGACTGGCTATACCTACGAGTTGAAGAAGAGTTTGACCGACTAGACAGCCAGCTGACTTATTTCCGATCATCCATCGAAGATGTGGCTAATCGAGCTCAGAGGCTTTTGGACCTAGTGAGTTAATTTACATATGATTGAAGCATTCATTCTGCTAACAGTATTCCAGCTATTCAACTTATCTGGACAACAAAATGCTCGCTGGAGTGAGAAGGTCGGAAAACAAGCCATGTACGAAAGCGCATCCATGCGAGCCATCGCAATCGTGTCCATGCTTTTCCTGCCTGGCACTTTCATTTGTGTAAGCGCCCTTTCCCACGGTAGCACACAAATTTACAACTTTGTAGGGTGTACTGGGCACAAATTTGTTCTACCAGGAGAGCTCCTCATCTGGCTCACCTTCCAACATGGCGGAATCGGCGTTTCGCGCGGCATCACAGTGGTGGATCCTCCTTATCACAATCGTACCGCTGACGTGTCTGACGTTTCTTGCTTGGTATATGTGGCGCAGAAGGACTGAAAATGAGATTTCGCGAAAGATCGCTCGAGAAGATGAGGAGGCCGGCAAGTTGCAAAAAGGACTGCGGCGAAAGAGCAGTGCGCGCAGAAGGAGCACATTCGCGAACATCGAGTGGACCCGACGATTTTCCACTCGCAATTGAATAGCACCCGAGTGACATGATGCCTAGCTATACTTTACATACTGGTGTACAAAGGCTACTGTAGTTGCTAGGCACGACTATTAAATGCTTACCCACATTGTCAAGTATGCCGTGTCATCCAGGTGCCAACGGATAAGCTGCCGACTTCGGGACCCCACCCTGCAACCTTGACACGGCGTCGTCACCGGTTTCTGTTCAGGCCACTCAGCGCTAATTGTAACACACCATTTGCATATAAGAGACGTGCATATGCGCTACCTGTTATCAATCACGTAATGACACGGGATTCACTCGCAATCGCTTGATCTATAAATTCGCCAGAGAGAGACGGTTGCACGCTTCCACGCTTCCACCCTATACTGAAAGAATATGACTATCGCAACCAAGAAATTCGAGTTTCCCGCTCTTACTGCCGGTCCTCCATCGCGAAGAAACTGGTATAAGGAATTACTGGATGATCCTGGGTGCCGGGGAAGACCAGTACGCTAGTTACCTACCTTTAGCGAATCCCAATGATAAACTTGACTAGATCAAAGTCCGGGAAGCGTATGAATCACATCGTGAATCATTTTATGCGAAACAAGTACAGTTGTTTGCTGTTGCGGTGTCTAACCCAGTCACGCCTGATCAGGCACTGATCAAATATCTGGAAAAGCAGAAAAGACAGCCGAATATTGACGACGTGGAAAACGATCTGGCATCACAGGACGTCAATTGTTCTGTTATCTGGGCCCGACCTCCCCGAAACATCTTAGACTTGATCATGTCCCTCCAGAAGCAAATCCTAGACTTAGTTGGGGCCGATCTTTACATCATGCCATCTCAGAACCTTCACCTCTCAGTCATTGAGCTCTCGCATCGCCATCCGGTCTCTCATCTCCGTGCAGTCGTGGAAGAGATTAGTTTGGACAGGATTCAAAGCATGCTAAATGCCTGCGGGGCTTCTCCTACCTCCAAGCATCGACCAAAGCTCGTGTTCCCACAGATCAATATCGATAACATGGGTATTGCGTTGAGTTTCGTCCCCTCCTCGGACCAAATTTACACATACCATCACCTCCGGGCTGACCTGCACACACAAGCGCTAGAGAGCGGTATCAGTATCGATATGTGTTATACAGCGCCATCTGCGCATATTACGCTAGGCAGATTTGTTGGTAACGAATACTTCAAAAAAGATGAAGGCAGGAAAGAATTCTTACGATTTATTGGGAAGCTCAATGCGAATCTCAAAGAGTTTCAAGATGAGTGGGCCGTGGGCAAGAAGGAAGGTTTGGAATTGCAATCGGGCTATTTGAAGTTTGGCAGGCAGAAAGAGAAGGCAGATGTAATTGGGACTTGCTGAACTAGATGGGCATCGGTCACTCATACGTGTTGCACTATCTCGTGAGACAGCTCAATGCAACCATGGGGAACTCCATAGCACAATTCCCTAGGGTATTATCCACGCATCTCTATCAAGACAACTACGTCCGCCATAATATTACATCGGTCACATAAATACAGAGGGGCGGTATTCGCGTTTCAGCACTTAGCTATGTCATCGAAATTCCGTCCTTTCACTCTGATGTCTAAGAGAGCATATTGCGCTCGCGCCGCCTCATAACACATCGTTAGTCAAAAGAGCGCCCCCTCCGCCTATTCATACTTAACTTGCCCTTCGCTACCATCTCCACCCGAGCAGCGACATTTGATCAGCCAAACGATCTTCAACATAATGCTCTTCACTGCCTTACAGTTCGCCGCTCTCACAGCTGCGGCTGCAGTAATCGACTCGACAATCAACTTTGGCCCCTTCTGCGGCACCCCGGCTCCTGTCTACGCCAACGGTACCAAGGCTTCCAACTGGCCTGCTTATATTGCCGAGCTCGAGGCGACATCCAGCTTCGGCGGCGGCAAAGGTACAACTGATGCCTGGGGCAACAACGGCGGACCCATTCCCTGGCCACGCGATGGCAACAACCAAGTCATCATTCCGTACTGCTTCACCGAAGAGTTCGACCGCAAGAACGTCCGCAGCGTCGTCGAGAATACCATGGCAAAGTGGATTGAGTAAGTGCTATACTACTGAGTAAACCTTTCAATGGCCGGAAAGCTGACTAGGGAATCATGCAGATACTTGGGTGGTCCTGCAGGCAGCGATACTCGCCACGCACTTAGTTTCCAAGAGCGCAAGAACAACCAGGGAAAGCCACTGTATTGCTCCACGGGCGGTGACTGCAATACGTGGAACCTAGCTGTACCCCAAGACACTGTTGCCATCGAGTATACGGAAGGCACCAGCTGGGGCGCTAGTGTGGGCTTGACGCAGAACGGGAAGCCATGACAGCAACTCGTTCACATTGCAGATGGATATACGCTTCTCGGGGCTATGCATGAACTGGGACATGTTCTAGGTAAGAAAGCACGGCGTCAAATTCTGGAAAAAACGAGGATCGAAGGGATATTGAACACGAACTGACATCACAGGCATGGCTCACGAGCACAACCGCCCCGACCGCGACACCTACATCCGCGTCGACTACCACCGCCTCGCCGATTGGCCCGACTGCTGGAACCGCGCTCGCTCTGCAGAAGGCGACCGCATCACCGAGGACGGCCTCTGCTTAGACATGTACCACGCGATTAAGTACGGATACTCCTGCTCCGCCTACATTATCAACTTGGTTGAGCCCGGCTGGCCCATCACCTCCATGATCGGTTATGCCCTCTCCAGCATCATGCACTATCCGAGTGTAAACGGAGACGCAACCGAGGAGTGTCGCATGAATGGTGATGGATGCGCTCTAGAAGAGTGGGTGCATTGGAATGATCATGACCAGGGCACGCAGCTTTTGTACCAGATGAGGAAGCCGAGTGAGATGGACTTGCTGTGGGTTAAGATAACGTATCCTTGGCATGTTGAGACTTAGTGGGGAAGGAAGGGTATATGGTTTTGAGGCTTGGAGTTTTTGGCCATCGCCCGTGCACGAGAGTATGAGAGACGAGTAGTACTGTAGTTCTCACTTCCAAAGAAGAATATGGTAGTACATGTATCTCTGCCCATATAAAATGGCCCTCCTACAACACCAACAAACGCGTCCCACCGATATTCCTGCTCTGACATAACCAGGAACCAGGTCAGCCCCGCTACCGTTACAAAAGCACATACATGTGCATAAAACCAGTTTCCCACCAGTTCCTTCCCAACGCATTCAACAAAAACATGGCCAAAGCACAGACTGCTGCAGCTAAAATGCCCGCTGCATGCGCAGTCTGCAGGGCACACCTCAACCGCATATTTGTACCCCGCCGGATGTCATATCCGAATAAAAAACAGTGGGGCCGACTTATCGCGAACCCTTCGCGAAAACATGTGTTGAGTGTATCTCGGACCGGTTGGGGCTGAACAGGGATGACATCACCGTCACAATCAGCAAGCCGTGGATACAATCGAACACGGCACATCTAAACACCCAATGATAGTTTTGCACATGTTTATTGATACTGCATTACAATACATAAGTCTTAGAACCCCAGCCAAATCCAACTAGCCAATAGACATAGCTCCGAACACGCCCCAACGCCCGCCCGGAAAAGGCAAAGAGAACAACGCGTTTCTGCCAAGTCTACTGCCTTTTCATCTATCGTGGTGAACATGAATATATTGCCACCGGCGGTACGTGTCTAGAACTGAGCAATGGCGACGGAGACAGCTTGCTCGTCCGAGTGGCTGATGCTAATGCTGATACTCTTTACACCAACGCGTTTAGCTTCTTCATCAGCTTTGCCGTGCAGCTATATAACGTTAGCATGTGATTTCCTTGACATGTATTGATGGACGTACCTGAACAGTGGGCGCGCCCGACTCGTCGTTGATGATCTCAATGTCTTTCAACGGAGCACCGGCGCCTTCGCCTTTTACACCAAGTGACTTGAAAACAGCCTCCTTTGCTGACCACTTTCCAGTGAAGCTCGCCTGTGGGTTCGAGGCTTTTCGGCAGTACGCAACTTCCTTGTCGGTGAAGTTACGCTCGATGAAGGTTTCGTTCTCAAGATTCAGCGAACTGAGGCCCTCTACGTCTACACCAACCTTGGTGTTTCCAGAAGCAGTGGCTTGAGTAATCTGCTCAACCATCTTCATCGTTTCCTGTGCTTTCTTGTCTTTCTTGGGACCTTGTGTAGAGGTCTTGGGGTAGCTGTATGTCGACGTCTTCTTGTCCTTGGTAACGCGTGCTTGCGGGTTAAGGAAGATCTCCTTCATCTTGTCGTCCTCGTAAGGCGCCTTATCCTTGGCACGGAACATGGTGTTGTTGATGAGACCGTCATGGAAGTAACGGTACGCCTTCTTCTGGCGCGCTTCGACCTTTTGCTTGTAGGCAGCAAACTCATGATGTTCAAGCGCGGCGTAAAGATACTTGGGGTGAATACCAATAGCTTGGGTTCCCTTCTGTCCAAAACCGAATGATGTGACTGAGAAAGCTTTGATACCATCAGTCTGGATGGCTTGAGATGGGTAGACAATGTAGTCGAACGACTCCATGATCTTGTCGACGTTGTCAGCATTGCGGTTGCCAGGCACAAGACCAGTGTTGAGCACTTGTAAACAGCCGTTGAACATCCAGGCACCAGCAGCACCCTTGGGATGACCAGTAAGATACTTCTGGAAGATACCAAGCAGCGCATTGCCCTTCTTACGACCAAGATGGCGCATCTGCTCGCAAACGACGTCCGACTCGTTCTTGTCATTGGCGACAGTCGAGGTACCGTGGAAGGAAGCAACATCGAGATCATCGATGGTAAGACCCCATGTAGCAAGAGCACCGCGAAGAGGAGCGATGCGGGGGTCTTTCTTCCAGAAGTTGTTGCCCAAGCTGCTGAGCGCGTCCTTTTCTTGGCGTTTGGCTTCCATTTCGATATTGGCGGCACGCTCCTGAATGTAAGCAGCCTCATCAAAATCTTCGCCTGTCGCATCCTTCATGGCCGCGACTTCCTCCTGGAGGTATAGGACTTCTGATTCTTGCCATTGCTTGATCTGCTTGCGTCGCAGGTCCATCTGTCGGCGCCTGTACTTGATATCAAGGAGAGGAGATGGGAACTTGGATGGGACCTCTCGTGCAGTCGTAAGCACACCCTTTCCTGGCGCAGGAACTGAACGGCCAATCTTGTCGGTAGCTGTAGCAGTGAAACCAATGATACCGTAGATAGGTACACCCATGTCGAGCGCGAGTTTGGCATCCATGATAACTTGCATACCGCAACCCTGTGACTCCATAAATCCGTTCCTGGTTGTTGTAGTAGGACGAGACATTTCTCTGGGTGTGCGGCCATGCGCAAACTCATCTTCCGCGTTGCTGGTAGCCTTCATATTGGCGAATTCGTACGATCCCTCTTCCTGGAAATCATCGAAACCACCAACAAAGCAAACGCGAGCCTTTCCTTCCACGATGGTATCATAACCAATGTCAATAGACTCGACAGCAGTGGCGCAGGCACCGACAGGAGTCTTGATGGGTCCTGTTGAGGACATGAGCAACATGTTGACCCAAGCGCTCATAGTGTTGATGAAAGACTCCTGTAGAATGTCCTTTTGAACTGGCTTGTCCATAAAGCGGTCCTTGTACATTCCACGTAGAGCTGTAGTACCACCGATACCGGAACCGATGCAGTTACCAACCTCAGAGAGGTGGACATACTGGTAGAACTCGTATGGATCGGTGATTCCGCTGGCAAGGAGACATTCAGCGGTAGATACGAGCACAAAGAGCGTGACTGGGTCCACCTGAGAGATAATGTCATCAGGAACGCCGTACTTTTTCGCATCCCAGCCAGTCGGGATCTGACCGGCGACGAGACGGTCAAAGCGTAGAGCCTTGGGGATGAGGAGAGTGGCACCCTTCTTCATGCGGACTGTGTACTCGCCGGAGTCCTCGATCGCGAAGACCTCAACCTTGTCACCATGCTCTCTCTTGAATTCATCAGCAAGCTCCTTAGACGCCTCGAAGGGATCGAGATCCTCTTCGATCTGGATCTCTTGCATGAGCTGCTTGTTCTTGGGATCATAGCCGTTGAAGAGCTCGGGCTCGATCAGACGGATACCACTGTGCTCTAAGATGTACTTTTCATACTTGGGCTTGACGTCTTTGTCATCAATAGGCTCGTTGGTTTTCGCGTCTACCCAGCCGGAGTAGCTCTTGCCCTTCAAGGGACCGTTGTGGTTCTTGATCAGACCCATGATCCATGCCATCTCGACACATCCCTCGATCGAGAATTCGCCGTAAGCTTCCATCTCCCATCGAGTCCTGGAGTTACCCCAGGGGCCCACTTCTGAGAAACCGGTGACAACGACAACCTTCTCAAGATCGACCATGCCCTTGAGATTATCATTGAGAGGTTTGACTTCGGAATCCCAGTCAGGTAGCTTGGGAAAGTCGAACTTCATGTTGGCTCGCGGTTCGACCTTGGCCTTCTTGTACAGAGCCTCGCTCGCCTCGCCGTTGACGACCTTGTTCTCAATGGCGTTCTCCTTGATGACAGCACGACGAATATCGCTTGTCTCTGTGAGGTCTTTGCGAAGATCGGTCATAAGATCCTTAAGGTTGGGAATGTACTGGAAGCCACCATTGAGATCAGCCCACACTGGCTCAACCTGGCAGAGGTTGACAATGGGTGGCGCCATGAGACCGAGTAGGTTGAAAGCCATTTCCTGCTGAGAGAAAGTGCGTACACCGTACTTCTCAATGCCCTCCGCGACAATGTTATTGGCACCCATGAGACCTGTGCCACGTGTCCAGCCGATAACAGCACCGCAGATAGTGAGGTAGTTACCCCAGCTTTCCGAGTGCCACCTGGAGAAGAGGGTCTCTAGGGACATCTTGGACTCAGAGTACAGACCGTCGTTACCGAAAGTGCCATGGTTAGGAGACAGTGGAAGAATGACCTGGGCTGGTCGTGTCTCGTAGCCGTTGGCTTGCTTGTGCTTCTTGACTGCTCCAAGCATTCGAAGGAGATTAGTCAACATGATACGGTGAGCGAGCTCAGACTTGGAGTCAATGCTGTCGATCTCACGACCATTCTCGGGGATGGCGGCAAAGGGGACAATCAGATCGAGGTCCCAGCCGAGACCCTTCTTTGTGTCGAAAATGTATTCGACCAGAGCCTCAACATCTTGGTTGCTACCTTGGTTGAAAGGTACAACAATGAGCTGGGAGCCACGGGCGCCGTATCGTGAGTACATGGATTGGTAGTACTCGGTAACTTCACGAGAGAATCTGGAGGTAGTGACTACAACCTTGGCACCACCACTGATAAGACCTTGGAGGACTTGCGCACCAATGGAGCCGGCACCGGCACCTGTCATGAGAGCATACTTGCCTTGGAAGGTAACACCAGACTTAGCAGCATTCTCGAGGCAGTCCAGGTAGACACCTGTCAGCTTTTTGCTGTACTCCCAGCCATGATCGTCTTTGCGCTTGAGATGTAAGAAGGGGATCGTTTCGACTTTGCCCTGCTTGGCAGACGGGTTGACGCGACCGTTGCGGCCCCGCTTGCCTCCAACAGCCTTGCCGTTTTCGCTAGGCATGATCTGGCCCTCGTTCATCGAAAGAGAGCGAATGACGTTGCTGTACAGGGTCTTGATCTGCAGCTGAGATGCCTTGGAAAGCTTGTGTTGCTGCTTGATGAGCTTGTAGATCCTCTGCAAGTCGTGTTGGACCTTTGTGCGGTTGCCGTACTCAGACAGCTTTCCGCCTTCGGCCATCTCGCGAACATAGTGCTCGAGCTTGCGGACGCTCGCCCTCGGGGCTTCTTCGTAGTTCATGTTGCCCTTGGCATCTATCTCCAGATGTGGCGCAGTGGGTACTGCGACGTCCTTGTAGACTGGGGCCTCGTTCAAGACGTCTTTGCAATTATCGATGAGCTGTTGGCCGAGCTCCTTTGCAAGCTCATATGTCTCACCACGTTCCGTGGGGCAGTGGTCCATGTGGTACTGCATAAAGTCTAGAAGAAGAGGGTTTGAGCGGTTCATGATGGCAATGCAGCGGCTGACGATTTCACGGTCAACCGCCTTGAGCTTGCCGAAGATGATGTCGTAGTACATGGTAAGGGCATCCTGGCGTGCCCAGTTCCATGATGAGTCGTAGACGCGTGCTTTGAGGGGTGTGAACTGGGGCTCAATGCCGGAGGCGTAGAATTCGCCGTGCTCAGTGTTCCAGAGGTCAAGTTGGGCCTGGAGCGCAGACTGCGCCTTTTGCGAGTCGACAAAGGACTTGTCGCCTAGACGCAAGTCGATCTTGAGGTATCGCGCATACAGCTCGAGTTGCTGCTTGAAGAGTTGGCGTTGGTCCTTGGTGAGCGCATCGATGGCCGCAGGGTCCATCATCATGCCGCCGCCTGACCCGCCAGCATCACCGCCTGCTGTAGGAGCAGAAAGATTGATTCCGGCTGTGGCTGCGTACTTGTTTGCCTGTTCGTCCAAGAAAGCCTTTCCGTCGGCTTCTGAGCCCAGACGTGCTGCTGGCTCGTTAGTGATGGCGAGCAACAAAACACCGTCCTGTCGTCCCTGGGCTAGGCCCCATCTTGTCTCGAGGTGCTTGCGCACGGCTGTGATGTTGAAGCCACCGGGCATCTTGGAGGACACCATACGGGCAATGAGGGAGGACGACTGCTTTCCAAGCTGACCATTGAAGGTAGCCTGCATAGAAGCACCGAGCTCGTCGAGGGGGGTATCTTCTGGCTTCTCGGGGGTTGAGCCGAATTCCTTGCCCAGGTCTCCGAGTATCTCGTTCTGAAGTGTGGACTTGCCTATGGATTGGTTAGTTGGAAGTCTGGCCAGAATATGCATATCGACTTGCCTCCGACCAAATCTTTGATGGCCTTGGTCAGCGGAATGTCCATGAGCGGCTTCTTCAGCTTCTGGGCCACCAATGTCCGCAGAATATCGGTAGCTGTGACTGGCTCGTCTGGTACCTGGGCAGCTGGACCAGCACCTGGAGGAGGAGCGGCGGCGACGGGTGCTGAGGCAGCCGGTGCAGAAGAAGCAGGCGCGGCAGCACCCCCACTGCTCGCAGCCGGCGCCTCTGGCTCCTCCTCTATGGGGTCGACATCGTAGTAAATGTCCTTTGCGTCCTTGTTGTAGCACAGAATTTGACGCTGCAGCGACCGCGCCGCATCGTGTCCTTCGTATTTGCTGGCGAGTGTGCGCTTAGCCATGACGCCGAGGGTGTCGGCGGGGCCAATCTCGACGATGCGCTCTGTTGTCTTCTCGCCGAGGACAACATCTTGCGTCTCAATCCACCTCACGGGCGAGGCGAACTGGTATGCGAGCAGCTCAATGAGCAGCGTGTGCGAAAGCTCCTGCTCGACCTCGGGACGCATGGTGAGGCGATGGGGGGAGGGAGGGAGCAATTGACTGAAAAGGAGGGTGGGTTGAGGCTCAACGGAGCTCAATGGGTATCTCTATTACAAAATAGAAGAAAGGGTATCGTGGGTCTAGAGAGGGGAGAAGGGCCAGGGAGGAGAGACGCTATTAGGTGGGTAGTGAGGTATAGTGCGGTGAGAGCACTTGAGATGATTCAAGGGTCCTGGAGGGGTGAAAAGTCCCCCGCACAGGCTCGGGTTTGTTTTTCGAGGAAAAGATGTAGTGGGCGGCAGTTCCAGGAGCGAGGGACCCAACGCATTGGCTGTTTATCTCTTGCTCTCAGGGACGACGAGGCTTGCGTTGCTCTGCCGGGCGTTGAGGATTTCTCCCGCTTTCGGGGCTGGATGTACTAAAATTCATCATCCCTGTACTGCAGCTCGTTACTGCTTTGGCCAACGCGCAACCGACTAATCTCGACGCCTGGCACTTGGGCAGGCAACCACGGAATGGCCACGCATACCCAAGCCCGAGGGTGAGGGCGAGAGGCGCGAACCAGGACGAGGGTAATTTGGTCCGGCGCGTCCTCAACAACTGCGAGTTCACGGATAAGCGCATTACAACTGACAGTTGTTGAGCCCGCTGCCGCAGCATTTCTGTACGAGCATACCGCCGTGGACCCCTGCCCGCGCTAGCCATGCAGGCTGGATGCGGGCCAAATCTGAGCTCCTCTGGGAAAAAGTCGACCATCCCGGCACGATAATAACCACGCCGTGAACGTTGTCCTCACCTCCTCGTCCTCCTGCCCGCCCAATTACATAATCCCTCCTTCCTGATTACTCTACATTTACCCTGGGGGGCCTCTTTCTTTCTCCTGTTGCCTGCGGTCGACTCACAACACCGCACGCACACTCACACACACTACACTACACTACACCGCACATAGCAAGGGAGCTGCTATACGAATAGCAGTACGGACCAAATCCCGAGCAAATAGGCCAGATTGACTTCTGTCCGAGCGAAGAGGTACGCATTGGGTGTTTCTTGCAAGCATTTCACACGTCGTGCGAACTTTGTCTTTTGTCGTTGCATTGCACCTTCCCCACAACACCAGACGGGAGCTCACATTGACCCAGAGCCCCCGACGCCCCTTCCTTAGACACTCTTCTCTGTCCATTCGCTCCTTCCATCTGCCCAGGTCGCTCCTTCAGTATCTGTAATTCGTCTCAAGGTGCGCCTTCCACTGCCTATTGTTCACTCCTCATCCGCAACTCTAATCCTGGTACCCCACATATCCCAAATAAACATACTTTTATGGAATCGCGAGTAGAATACACAGCTCACCACCATCAACAGACACCAACCACTCATCATGTACGGTTCTGGCCAGCAGACGGGCATTTCCACCCCGCGCTCCGCCGCCAACCTCCGCCCCCTCATCCTCTCCCACGGCTCGCTCGAGTACACTCTTCTCATCCCGACTGCTCTTCATTTCAATGCCCAACAACTGCGGGACACATTCAAGTCGACACTTCCCGAGCCCACAGATGAGCTTGCCCTAGATGACGAGCCATCTTCGGTGGCGGAGTTGGTCGCACGATACATTGGTTTTGTCGCCAAGGAGGTAGAAGAGGGTGAGGACCCTGACTCGTTCGAGGAGGTGCTCAAGCTCGTTCTTACCGAATTTGAGCGTGCTTTCCTCCGGGGCAACGAGGTACACGCCCTGGCTGCCTCTCTGCCGGGCATCACTGAGAAGAAGCTGGTCACTGTGCGGTCATACTACGCAGCTCGCGCTGCAGTAGAGCGGCCTATCAAACACCACGAGTCGGCGCTTTTCCGGGAAGCCGCTGACGAAAACGCCTTCATATACGCTGTTCTGGGTGGACAGGGCAACATCGAGGAGTACTTCGATGAACTCCGCGAAATCTACAACACCTACCCCTCGTTTGTAGAGGACTTTGTTGCCGCCGAGGCTCAGCATCTTCTCGTCTTGTCGCGTGACCCGCGTGCCGAGAAGCTCTACTCAAAAGGCCTTGATGTCATGCGATGGCTCAACAACCGAGACTCGCAGCCTGACACCGATTACCTGGTCTCAGCGCCTGTCAGTCTGCCCTTGATCGGTCTGACTCAGCTCGCCCACTACGTAGTGACGTGCCGAGTTCTCGGGAGTCACCCGGGCCATGTACGAAGCCGTCTTTCAGGTGTTACCGGCCACTCACAGGGTGTCGTAACAGCCGCTGCTATTGCTGAGGCAAAGAACTGGGAGACCTTTGAGCGTGCTGCCAAGAAAGCCATCGAGATTCTCTTCTGGATCGGTACACGAAGTCAACAAGCTTTCCCCAGGACCTCGCTTGCGCCTACAGTGCTGCAAGATTCCATTGATAATGGCGAGGGTACGCCAACACCTATGCTTTCCATACGTGATCTCTCACGAAAGGCCGTCCAAGACCACATCGACGCTACCAACGAGCATCTGCCAAAAGACCGACACATTGCCATCTCTCTCGTAAACAGCGCGCGTAACTTCGTTGTCACCGGCCCGCCGATTTCTCTATATGGTCTTAACCTCCGTCTACGCAAGGACAAGGCTCCCACTGGCTTGGACCAGACCAGGATACCTTTCACTGAGCGCAAAGTACGCTTTGTAAACCGCTTCCTTCCCATCACTGCTCCTTTCCACAGTCCATATCTCATAGATGCGACCAAGCAGCTCGAGGATGATCTGAAGGGCATCAAGATATCCACGGCCGATCTTGGTATTCCAACGTATGACACTCATACAGGCCAAGACATCCGCGAGACTGAGTCGGAAAACATCGTTCCTCGTCTTATTCGCATGATCACCGCCGACTCAGTAGAGTGGGAGAAGGCGACTGTGTTCCCCAATGCCACTCACATCCTCGACTTTGGCCCCGGTGGCATCTCTGGTCTTGGCGTTCTTACGAACCGCAACAAAGACGGCACAGGTGTCCGTGTTATTCTTGCGGGCGCCATTGATGGTCAAAACGCCGAGGTTGGCTACAAACCCGAAATCTTCGACCGCGACTTTGAGCACGCCGTAAAGTACGCTGTAGACTGGGTCAAGGAGCACGGCCCACGCCTTGTCAAGACCTCCACCGGCCAAACTTACGTCGACACCAAGATGAGTCGCATGCTGGGCTTACCTCCAGTCATGGTTGCTGGTATGACACCTTGCACAGTACCATGGGACTTTGTGGCTGCGACCATGAACGCTGGCTACGAGATTGAGCTTGCTGGTGGTGGTTACTACAACGAAAAGACCATGACTGCTGCCATCAACAAGGTCGAGAAGGCTATCCCTGCTGGCCGTGGTATCACTGTCAACCTGATCTACGTCAACCCACGCGCAATGGGCTGGCAAATTCCTCTCCTAGCCAAGCTCCGAGCTGAGGGCGTGCCTATCGAAGGTCTTACCATCGGTGCTGGTGTGCCATCGATCGAAGTAGCGAATGAGTACATTGAGACACTCGGCATCAAACACATTGCTTTCAAGCCTGGATCCGTCGAAGCCATTCAACAAGTCATCAACATCGCCAAGGCGAATCCCACTTTCCCAATATTGCTTCAATGGACTGGTGGCCGTGGTGGTGGACATCACTCATTCGAAGATTTCCACCAGCCGATTTTGCAGATGTACAGCCGCCTGCGGAAGTGTGACAACCTGATCCTCGTCGCCGGTTCTGGTTTCGGTGGCGCAGAGGACACATACCCATACCTGACTGGATCTTGGTCCACCAAGTTTGGGTACCCACCTATGCCCTACGATGGCTGCCTGTTCGGTAGCCGTGTCATGACTGCCAAGGAATGTTACACGTCCAAGATGGCTAAGCAGGCTATTGTCGAGGCTCCTGGTCTGGAGGACAGCGAGTGGGAGAAGACCTATAAGGGTCCCGCTGGCGGTGTCATCACTGTTCGCTCCGAGATGGGTGAACCAATCCACAAGCTCGCCACACGCGGTGTTATTTTCTGGCATGAGATGGACCAGAAAATCTTCAGCCTTGACAAAGCTAAGCGCATACCCGAGTTGAAGAAGATGCGCGAATACATCATTGAGAAGCTGAACAAGGACTTCCAGAAGGTCTGGTTTGGTAAGAACAAGAAGGGAGAGTCGGTCGATCTGGAAGACATGACGTATGCCGAGGTTGTCCAGCGCATGGTAGACCTCATGTACGTTAAGCACCAGTCTCGATGGATTGACCAGAGCTTGAAGCGTCTAACTGGTGACTTCATCCGCCGGTTGGAGGAGCGCTTCAGCAAGACCAGCAGCGAGTCGCTAATTCAGAACTATGAGGAGCTGAATGACCCCTTCCCAATGCTTGAGAAGGTTTTCAAAGCCTACCCCGAAGCCGACGAGCAGCTCATCAACGCCCAAGATGTTCAGCACTTCCTGTTGCTCTGCCAACGCCGTGGTCAGAAGCCGGTTCCTTTCGTCCCAGTCCTTGACGACACCTTTGAGTTCTTCTTCAAGAAGGACTCGCTCTGGCAGTCTGAAGACCTCGATGCCGTTGTTGACCAAGATGTCGGCAGGACCTGTATTCTTCAAGGACCCATGGCCGTCAAATACTCTACCAAGGTGGATGAGCCTATCAAGGAAATCCTGGACGGCGTTCACCAAGGCCATATCAAATATCTTCTCCGTGACGTCTATGGTGATGATGAGTCCAAGGTCCCGGTCATCGAGTACTTTGGCAGCAACCTCTTGGCACCACCTCAAGGGCTTGAGGTAGATGGTCTTACTGTATCGGAACTTCCGGACAAGGTCATCTATCGCCTCGCAGCAGCTCCCAATGCCACAATGCCCGAAGTTCACTCGTGGTTGCAGCTTCTAGCCGGCAGCAGCTACTCATGGAGGCATGCCTTCTTCACTGCAGATATCTTTGTCCAGGGTCAGCGCTTCCAGACCAACCCTACTTCTAGGGTATTCGCCCCCACACGCGGCATGGTTGTTGAGATCCAGTATCCCAATGAGCCTGCCAAGACCGTCATTGTAGTCAAGGAACTCCACCATGGTGGCAAGTTGATCAAAACCGTCGATGTCAGTCTTACAGAGGAAAAAGAGATCTTGCTCAACATGTGGGAAGAGCGTACCGCCCTCAAGCAGGCTGTTGCTCTACCTTTCCGCTTCACTTATCGTCCGGATGTGGGCTATGCTCCTATCCACGAGGTTATGGATGCCCGTAACGACCGCATCAAGGACTTTTACTACAAGGTCTGGTTTGGAGATGAGGCATGCCCATTCGACGAGTCTGTCACCTCTCGCTTCGATGGTGGCCGTGCTACTGTCACAAGCGAGGCCATCAATGACTTCGTCCATGCTGTGGGCAACACGGGTGAGGCCTTCGTCGATCGACCTGGTAAGGAAGTATTTGCTCCTATGGACTTCGCCATCGTTGTTGGCTGGAAGGCAATCACCAAGCCCATCTTTCCTCGCGCCATTGATGGTGACTTGCTCAAGTTGGTCCATCTCTCCAACGGCTTCCGAATGATCGCTGGCGCAGAGCCTCTAAAGAAAGGCGATGTGCTCGAAACCACGGCGCAGATCAATGCTGTCATCAACCAGGATTCTGGCAAGATGGTGGAGGTCTGTGGCACGATCAACCGTGACGGCAAGCCGGTAATGGAGGTTACCAGCCAGTTCCTCTACCGTGGCGCATACGATGACTTTGAAAACACTTTCCAGAGAAAGGTCGAGAAGCCCATCCAACTTCACTTGGCCACCAGCAAGGATGTTGCCATCTTGCGATCTAAGGAGTGGTTCAACTTCGAGGAGCCCGAGATCGACCTGCTGAACAAGACGCTGCTCTTCAAGCTCGAGACTGTTATGCGATACAAGAACAAGACCGTTTTCTCGGACATCGAGACCCAAGGAGAGGTCTTGCTCGAGCTTCCGACCAAGGAGATTATTCAGATCGCATCGGTTGACTACCGGTCGGGAAGCGCCTATGGCAACCCCGTCCTTGACTATTTGGAGCGAAACGGAGCTGTGGTTGATCAACCGGTACTTTTCGATAATGCTATTCCACTACACGGCAAGACTCCTCTCAACCTCAAAGCGCCAGCCTCCAACGAGAACTACGCCCGCGTTTCCGGCGACTACAACCCCATCCACGTCTCACGCGTCTTTGCCAGCTATGCCAACCTTCCTGGCACCATCACTCACGGCATGTACTCCAGCGCAGCTGTCCGAAGTCTGGTTGAGACATGGGCCGCCGAGAACAACGTTGGCCGTGTCAGGAGCTACCATGTCAACCTGGTCGGTATGGTACTTCCTGATGACTTGCTCGATGTCAAGCTTCAACACGTCGGAATGGTGTCTGGTCGCAAGATCATCAAGATTGAGGTCAGCAACCAGGAAACTGAAGACAAGGTCTTGATTGGCGAGGCCGAAGTCGAGCAGCCTACTACCTCCTACGTCTTCACCGGTCAAGGTTCGCAGGAGCAAGGAATGGGTATGGAGCTGTACAACAGCAGCCCAGTAGCCAAGGAGGTCTGGGATCGCGCTGATAAGCATTTCATGGACAACTACGGTAAGCGCATTCATTCGTCGCTGTTTTGCATTAGCTAACTTGAAATAGGATTTGCTATCACCAATATCGTGAAGAACAACCCGAAGGAGCTCACTATTCACTTTGGTGGACCCGTCGGTAAGGCCATCCGCCAGAACTACATGTCCATGACTTTTGAGACTGTGGCTGCCGATGGCTCTATCCGGTCCGAGAAGATCTTCAAGGAGATTGACGAGAACACTACATCGTACACATACCGGTCACCGACTGGTCTTCTATCCGCCACCCAGTTCACGCAGCCTGCTCTTACATTGATGGAGAAGGCGTCTTTCGAGGACATGCGCGCCAAGGGACTCATCCAGGTCGAGAGCACATTCGCTGGTCATTCTCTGGGTGAATACTCCGCTCTTGCCGCTATGGCTGAGGTCATGCCCATCGAGAGCTTAGTGTCAGTTGTGTTCTACCGTGGTCTGACCATGCAGGTTGCCGTGGAGCGTGATGAGACTGGCCGCTCCAACTACTCCATGTGCGCCGTCAACCCTAGCAGGATATCCAAGACGTTTAACGAGCAAGCACTCCAGTACGTTGTGGAGAACATTGCCGAGACAACTGGCTGGCTCCTTGAGATTGTCAACTACAACATCGCCAACATGCAGTACGTCGCTGCGGGTGACCTTCGCGCGCTCGACTGCCTAACGGGTGTGACAAACTACCTCAAGCAGCAGAAGATCGACATCCAAGCACTCATGCAGACGCTCTCACTGGAAGAAGTTAAGAACCATCTTGTCGAGATCATCAAGGGCTGTGCCGAGCAGACCGAAGCCAAGCCCAAACCTTTGGATCTCCAGCGCGGTTTCGCGACGATCCCGCTCAAAGGCATCGATGTGCCCTTCCACAGCACCTTCTTGCGGTCCGGTGTCAAGCCTTTCCGATCGTTCCTGCTGAAGAAGATTCACAAGACATCTATCGACCCCAGCAAGCTCGTCGGCAAGTACATACCCAACGTGACAGCCAAGCCGTTTGCGTTGACCAAGGAGTACTTTGAGGACGTGTACAAGCTGACCAACTCGCCCAAGATTGGCAACATTTTGGCCAACTGGGAGAAGTATGAGGAGAGTGGTAAGGAGGAGAGCAAGACCGAGGCGGCAGCATAGAGGAAAGTCGAGCTTAGAGAAGGCGATTGTAGAGGTAGCTGTACAAGATAAGGGAAAAGAAAGCAATGATGGCGTTTGGCAGGTTGACAGTCGTTGTAGATTTGTTGGTGTTGCTTGATATCCTGGCTTTCGGGGCAACTTTTAGAAGGGCTTCTTCATGTGAAATGATATGATAGAGAAATAGTAATGCATTCATTCAATCAGTCAATCAAGTTGCTCACTTGTGTCTTGATCATAATCAAGACGTGGAGAGGAGATGAAGAAGAATAGATGTCATGATATTTACGAAACAAAACATGGCCCATTCGAAACGATGAGACATGTATGTATGCTAAAAGCCCAGCATTTTACCCAAACCGCGCTTGTTTATCCAACCCTACCCCACCCCATCCCTATAGAATAAGAACCAAGAAGGAGAAGAACAAAGGAGACTATAGTCCACGGCAAATCCACACTTCCAAGATGGAAAACGAAGCAAGGGAAAAAAATTCAGAAAGGCAAAGTTCCACCACTATCGAAATAATCCCCTCTTCCTCGACTTGCCTACATCCACACCGTCCTGCGCTGTAGAACTACTAGACAGCGTAGGCATAGTATTCGCGTGCACCAGTGGCGGAGCGTCGATGTGTCTCTGTTGTGGATACGGGGTTTGATCGCGATGCTGATGCTGCTGGTATGGTGTGTACTGCTGTTGTTGAGGATACTGGGGCAACTGCTGCCAGTTTTGCTGGTACGCCTGGTAGTTTGCATTTTGTTGGTAATTATCTTGGTAGCTGTTGCTGGCGACTCTATGTTGAGGGGTTTGAGGCTGGAAGTCGTGCTGTTGATGCTGTTGATGCTGTTGGTGGTGTTGGGACTGCTGCTGTTGTTGTTGGGAGCGGAGGAGGCCGAAAGCCCAGTTTGAGAGGTTGAAGCCGCCGAAGATGACAATTGCGGTAAAGATCTGGTAGGAGAGGTGGTGTCAGCGTATGAGCGTATGAAGGTTTGTTGAGAGTGTCGAGTGGTGATTTAGTCTACTTCTTCGACTTCGCAGGGGTAGCTGTTAAGGCTGATTGTGAAAAGGGAAGTCGGATAGGAATTGAAAGGAGGAGGCAAAAAAGGTTTTGTGCTGCACCATAGTTTGAGAGGGTATATGCTGCTGGTATACATCATCTGTACGCGCAGATTTGCCCCCTCTGAACGGCTTCTTGGAATCTCTGCCAAAGAAGTCCCGCCAATTGACGATGAAGAAGATAGATGGGACACATACCATGGACTTGTAGCTAACCTCCTCGAAAAAGCTGTTGCAAATCATGGCGAATGTCTTGGCCGTGACGGTCGCGCGCGCAACCTTTTTGGGATCGCGGTTCATGCAAGTCTCCCAGATACCGCATGCCTTCTCCATGGCCGGAACGACGTCTTCCGGCCGGCAACGGTTGCGGTTGTATTCCAAGGCGCATGCGGCGATTTCGACCATGACCTCGGACGCATGTTTTGAGGATTCAATTTCAACATCTGTCATGACGCCAGCCCATGCGCGGTAGACGAGGAAGACAAAAAAGCCTCCAAGGAACGTATTAACAGTCAACTGGAGGTACCATGTTATCACCACAGGGAGGTTCGGATGGGCTTCCACCCACGAGAGGAAGCCGGCCAGGTTCATAGTGAATGTGGATTGGACGGGCCCCGCCTCTTTTGTCGGCACGGACGGACGGCGGGCGAGTTCATTGTCGGAATCTTCGCCATCTTCGCGAATTTGGACACGCTTTTTGGATTGTGATCGCTCGGACCGGCGCTTGACTATGCGGTTCTCAGCCTTCTTGGAGTAGGGCTTTTGCGGTGACTCCTTGTCCCGGTCCTTTGTGGGACTAGGAGTGCTCGCAAATGCGCGCTTGAACCAGCTGTCCCTACGAGCAGGCTTCTTGTCCGCCTCGCCGTTGCCTAATCGTCCCATCCTGGTCACCAATTGTGTGTCTGGAGTGCCAATATCACTGTCCATATGCGGGGTGCCTGGAGTCTCTCCGCCAGAACTAAAGTCGAGGTCGTGTGAGGGCGTTCGCATCGACCAAGGGCTCTGTTGTATACGCGCCGGCACCGAAGATGCGGGTGTTGAGGGTAGTGGTTTGCTGGGGTCGCGGTTGAAATATGTCATGCGGTTATCGGGATCGCGCAACCGAGTCGGCGTCGCAAATCCGTTCTTGGACGGAGATTCTAGGACTGAGTGCGGGCCTGGACGGCCTGGAGTTAGTTCATGTGCCCCGTCTTGTAGTTCTGCCCCAAAATGGAAGGGCCGCTGCTGCAGTATCTTACGCTTCTTCTGTTGCTGTTGTTGTTGTTGCTGCTGCTGCTGCTGCTGACTTGCTAGAACGAAAGGCGATTGTGCGTCAATAGGACCCGTTTGGTTGGTCCACTCAAAGTCCATAGGCGTAGTGGAAAGGCGACTTGTGCGCGACATGGCGGCTGCCAGCAAAGGCGCAGGCTCGGTGGATGAGGTGTGGATTTGTTGTCTCGTGGCAGTTGTGGGGGCGTTCTCGACACTTGTTGATCAACACTTGTGTTTCCAGGTTCCCAAGTTGCGGACTTCCGGCGCTAGTCTCTATTGGGTCAACTACGGGTTGCGACCACTTATCCACTTGCACGCAATATGGGAGGAAGCTGGCGAGTCATTTAAATGTGCCACTGGTAGAGCCTGTATGGAGAGTGAAAGCATGCCGCGTGAGACATTATGGAAGATTAGAGACTTTCTGTTGTATTCACTCCTTGGGCAGGACCCCACCAAAAACATTCATGGTCAAGACAGTGTGAGTTAGTACTATATTCGTAGGGATTCTACACGTGTGACTCAAACAAAAACAATGCCCATGCTAGAAAAGAGAGGGCCGCCTCCATGTTCGACGCCTCCTACCAGATCCGTGACCATGTCCTGGGCCCCCCGCCGGACGCCTATAAGTAAAGTCTTCTTCCGTGTCCGACAGCAGACACAAATCGTCGTGCCGAATCCTTCCATCATCTTCGCAAACTTGACACCTCTCGAAGCAGCTCGATCTTCGCACTCGCTTCCGCGCCTTCTAGGCTGGCGTAAGCCCAACCTTGGTACCGTTCAACGAGCAAAGAGTCAGCGTCAATTTCTCTCGCCATTGATCGGCGTCCCTGCTCTCGATTTCTTTGAACTCTTGTACCAATCGAACAGTGACGTAGCTTGCTTCAGTGAGGGCATACTGTTGGCCGAGGCATATGCGTGGGCCGCCGTTGAAAGGTAGGTACTCCCATCCAGGCCGGAGAGTCTCCCATCGCTCAGGCTTATACTCGTCTGCGTCTGGCCCGAACAGGTCCGGGCGTCGGTGCATAGTGTATGGCGAGTAGCCAACCGTAGTTCCCTTGGGCACGAAGAGCGGCGCTTGACCATCAGGTCCACCGCCGCGGGGGAGAACAGTGTCGCGTGTGGCATAACGAGAGTTCCCGGGAACAACAGGGTGAGTGCGCAGTGCTGGTCACGATTAGAATGGAAAAGACACTGATGTACAATGCAAGACTTACATTCGTTGAGACACCACTTCACATACTTCAGGTCTCTCAACTCTGAATAAGTTGGTGTGCGTCCCTCCAACGTCGCGACTTCTTCCCGAAGCTTAGCATAGATGTCTGGCCTCTTCGCGATTTGGAAAAACATGTTGCTGAGCAGACTGGCTGTTGTGTCGCGTCCGGCAAGCAGGATGTTGATGAGTTCCTCCCTTATCCTTGCCTTGTCTGTAGTCTGCTTCGCCACTTCCTGGATGAAGTAGTACTTCTCATCCTTGCCAGCTCCCGACTTCTTTTCTGATTCCAGCTCCTGTCTGAACTGGAGGGCATGGTCCACAAACTTTTCAATATACGCATGGCATGTCTTAATCGCAGCTTTTCCCTCGACGTTCTTCCTAAACCGATCGAAGATTCCGTACCGAAAGCGGGTCGCAATATCGTCTTGTGCATAGTTGAATGCTTTGCTGAATTTAACGTCTTCGTTATTCGTTTCATCCTGGCCTAGTGTGCGGAGTGTTTCTGTAGAGTGGTTGAAGAGGAATTCCGTCGCCGTGTCCATGGTCAAGCAGAAGAAGAGCTCCTGCAGATCAACCGTAGACCCATCTCGTGGTATATGCCTAAGCATGAGCTGGAAATGACGCTCAAACGCTTCGAGATCAGCAACTTGGTCTCTGGCAAAGTTGGGGCGAAGGAGATGACGGCTGTTAGCCCATCGTTCTCCATCTGCGTTGAAAATGCCGTGACCCAGTAGCGGAGTGAAGTTTTGCTGTCTGTTACCCAGGCTGTAATCCTTAAATTTCAGACTCAGAATGGTTTTGATATTCTCCGGCTCGCACGTGACGATAAAAGGCATGGTAACGATCCTGTTATGGAAAGTGTTGCCGAGCTTTTGGAACCGTTTCCTGTTCTCTTGCAGTGTGATGTGGTGCTTGCAGTTGTAGGCCATGGTCTTCATAACGTCCAGTCCAAGGATTGGGTCCTTGTGAAAATGTGCCGTGCATGGCTGGCAGCCATTCTCTTTCATGAAGCGCCGACGCGCAATGTACAGTGTGATGCGCGTGTATAGCATGTAGGATAGAGCGGCTCCCGCAACGATGAAGAGTAGCGGGGAGTGTGCCATGATGCTGATAGGAATGGAGGATTGGCTCTCTAGAGTCGTGTAGTCTTCAGGGTGAGGTGTAGTAGTAAGTGGCGTGGATCGGGTGAGGAAGCCGTGTCGTCGTGGCAGTCGCGTTTACCTTGTGCAAGTTCAATCCGGGAATGGCAAATGCCCTGATGCTGGCTTCGCAGGTACGGCGCCAATATGGGCTTTAAGAAGGCGCAACAGTCAGCTTCACCGTTGACGCAATTGTCGTCACTTGTCTTTTTCGGACTAATGATGTGAATCGCTTGCGGAGATAACTTTGCCTCTTTCTCCGCTTCTCCCGAGATGGCGTACGAGTGGTGCACTCGATCGGTCCCGTGTCTTTAAAGGTGGCGTTCCCGAGAAACTGATAACCTAGGGGTAGTAGACCTTTACCTACTTGCTTTGTTCCCCCACAAAATCCTTCGGAGCTTTTTCTTTGGCGAGAGCGAGCCAACACGGCACATTCAAAGCTTGGCCGGATGCGAGATATGCGTCCATGAGACATGTCAGCACCTCATATATATACCTATCCTACATATACGCCTCTTTCGGAACGTCGCGGTTCCACATTGCTTGGCCCAATATGCTTTACGGCACGCATACGTATTGAGCAACTCGCCTGGATGCTCCGATACACCTTGGAGCAGGCGCCCGAATGCTGAGGTTGCACCCCTCGGAGCGTGGCTGACGCGTGTAGTGTCGACTCTCGGTGATGCCGGTCGCTGCAGCATCCCTGCTCTAATCCGCGACCGAGGTCAGATCACAGGGGCGCTGATTGGCCTAGTCGGACACTTTTTTACCTCGCAGCTCGCATCTCGCACTGAATTCGGTCACGACCGAGAGGTGGAAACCTTCTCAGATCCGGTATGCAATGGTATGAGACTACGTGCCTCGTCTTTTATTCGATCATGGCTTAAAATGTGGAGAGTGCTTTCAAATTTCTTCACTATCCGTTTGATGTCATAGATTAACTCTTCACATAATTCCGGCAGCAGATACTAATCATCGCCCGAGGCAAACACGTCGATTACGCTATTCTGAAGATATCCACTTCATGTGGTTGATCGTCTCCTTTTCCAAGTAGGCGTACACCTGACTGTAGTCTTTGCATACGTGCTTCGCGTCCCATCCATCACTACCTCCCCGATCCTCGCCATTGTCACCGTGTGGGAAAGTAGTAGCAGCACCTTCCAGCGCTACATCACCCGCGCACATGATCGCCTGCCTGATATACTCGAAGCAGTGATTGATATGCCATGCCATCTTGACCGGCTTCGGTGACATGGGATTCGCCATGGTAAACTTCATCGAGTTATAGGCATCGAGAATGGTATAGAGGCAGTGTAGCTGATGCGTCACCGACGTCGTGTACACAGTCTGGCCGGGGTAATCGTGGACAGGTTTTGGGAGGTTGGAATAGTCGCTCGCGTTCTTTACGTTGACGTAACCTAGCCCCTCTGTAATCTGTCAGTCCTGTCAAGTTGGAAAGAAGGAAAAGCAGAGGCATTTACCTGGCACAATACTCAGCCATGCATCCTGCGTCTCTTTGCCCCAAAACTCCGTCTCGTTCTCCGGAGCAAATACATCGTTCGGCTTGAAGCTGACGATTTGTTGTGAAAAGGTTGGCGCGAAACCTGAAATGTCCCCCGCAAGCTCATACTGGTGGCTCTTCGCCTGATGCTGCCACCTCTTTTCAACGAGCAGACCGACTATGACCAGCAAAAGCGTCGTGTCTAGCATCCACCGGTATCCCTTCACTCTCCGCCAGAATGTCTTTCTTCTCCGCCTTGGCTGCACAGCGTCTTCTGTATCCCAATCTCCAACCTCTGTACTGGAATCCGAGTGGTCATCGGTGTTGGGTAGCGTGTCGTAACGCGGACCGCGCTTTAGCGTGTCCTTCGCGTCGTCGACTGCCATCTTAGGATCGTCGTGTATAGATGTGTAAGTATGGTCCGAATGCAGGAATGTTAGTGGCTAGGCTGTGATGAGTACAAGTATCATTGAGATCACAGAGAGGAGTACTGCGTTTATGCAACATGGTGTTGATTGCCCAGTATGCTCAAACGCGTCCTGCGACGCCATTTGTCACACGCGTTATAGCGAAGCCCATGTAGACTTAATCCGCCATCGCGGCGCTCGCCGTATCATCAACAAAAGCCAATTCATCAGCCGAGACGGATGGCTATGTCCAACGTAAGAGCACAGAGAGCAGGCACTTCGCTCAACACGAGAAGCCGCAGTGCGTCGTCGATTCGGGCATGGTAACAATGAGCCAATGGTCAAGGCTGATTCCATGGCAATGTAAACTAAGTAGGGGTTTGCAGTATTACACGAAGGCGGTTTACTACAAGGAGCTGGGTACATCAAGTCTGCAACGTACAGTTGGTGTCGAGTGTGGCTGTATGCGAGGTGCTGTCGGCATCGGCCTCGGAGACCTTGGAAGCGCCGATCCATCCTATCCTCACCACACACGCAACTAGATTATTACCGTATACGTTCGTTGAGACAATAGGCACGTGTACAGATATTGATTCGCGCTACCTCATATGTTCCACTTTTCACTATAGGGATATGTTTGCGAGAGACCGCCTCTAGGAATTTCCATCACATGCTGACACTGTTGCGCGACAACACCGGCCCTTTTTGGTCAACTTACTCCACAATCCGAATATGGCGTTGATTCGGCGTCTGTTGTGGCGGACGAAGCATAGATGGTGAGCTACTGTTTCTGAGCGCTTGAGCAGCCCGCTCCTTGACCAAATCGGCCGCGGGCATAGACACCCCTGACATGTCATCATCGTCAAGGAAGTTGCGCATTTCGCAAATTGTCTCTCTACGACGAGGTATCGCTCTGACCGCAGACGTTGCATGGTTCCTTGCGTGTATACGCTTCTTTCCTATGGAGATGGAATCCCTATGTGCAAAAAGCTCCGCGGAAACCCCTCCAGAGCGGACGAGTCGGGAATGCGCCATGGTGACAGAGTCACGATGGCCTCGGAACCTTGTGTCTGCTTCGTCGACATTCGAAAGCTTACGAAACCCAATGGCTGGTTTCATATCTCGTCCACCGCCAATCCTCACCTCACCATCAGGGGTAGGAAGAGCCTGTTCCAAAACTGGGGGCAGATGCTCTGGGAGTTGTGGTAGTGTGTCTCTCAGGGCGTCCGAGAACGTCATCTCTTCCTTCGAAGCTGTCCTAGTCATTGGCGCACTGGCCGTACGAGATGGCGGGCAAGATGGGAAGCGTGAAGAAGTACAACTTGTCATCTGGCTGTTCGGGGGTGCTGATACTAGTAGTTCATCGTCGACCTCTATCGCGCAATCGTGATAAGCAGATCGACCATCGTCGTCGGGAAAAACCACGATGGTCGGTTTGAACTTCTCCGAAGGTGTGTTCCATGTTCCTGACCAACACGCAAGCTTCGAGTTGACTCGCTCAAGACCACGTGGCGCACCTGGAGCGGCTGCTTCCAACGCATGGCTTGCAGACGAGCTCCGTCTTCCTATGATTCTGGCGCTGTGCTCGGGTGGTACATCGTCCCAGACTATCTCGTAGCTTGCACTCTTCGTCTCTATTATCTGCATAGTCGGCGTCGCCGGATCGATATCTTCGTCGTTGGTAACATCCTGCGCATCCCATTGGGGTGCGATGGCGATGACATGGACATCTGTGCGTGTGACTGCAGTGTCTGCAACACTACTCTTCGTTGTGCCTATGGTGTTCGGGCATGAAGGTGAGGTCTTGGCTATCTTCTTCGTTACACTAGCACGCCTAGTGGTCTTCTCGGAATTATTCCTCGAAAGTGGGTTCGGTCTGTCCTGAGTGAAATGGCCTGGCGATAGCGAGAATGATGAACTTGAACCGTTTCCTTCGAAATCGACCGTCTTTACGCGGCGCAAAGTCCTGGACCCAGCGGTGACTTTTCCATGCTGAAACTCTTCCGGTGGAGGAGCGATGACACTGCCTGCTTTCTTCTTGATACATGGTTTGAGTGGTACGTTACGATCGCGTGTTCTGGGGTTCGCGAATGCTTTTGTTAGGTCGGGATCCGAACTTGAGCGTAACGCAGTAGATCTAGTAGGGCTCGGTCTTGATCTAGTCGCAGGTCCGCTCAAAGAAGATTCAAGCCGAGCTCGAGCAGGTCTAGGTAAGCGACTGGTAGCAAATTTCGCTTGCTCTTTGTGCTGCTTCTGGAGGGCAGTGAAGGGTGTCGCAGCATCAGGATTGGGAGAGCTTAGTTCGAGTCGTGAGTTACTTATAGAGCGCTGCGTGGCACGGCGAGGAGGTTGCAGTGCAGCCCGTGGAAGATGTTGGGGTACATTGGTTACACGGCGCTCGCCTTCTTTGAAGTGGACAGTATTCAACACGGTTATCGCAGTCAATCGCTCACTGTGAGTCTGGCTCGGCACAACCGTCTCACTGGCAGATCTTGCAATTGAACGTCTTGGGCCAGTTGTCGATATGGACTTTGCTGACTCGTTGTTGCCAGTTGAAATATTGTCTTCCCTTGTAGCATTGCTAGTAAGCGGGGTCGTGGGGGAAGTCTCATCTTCCGTGGATGGTGTTTCGTCGGGAACAGGATGTCTGTCTGCTGTGAGGTATGAAGCGAGCTTGGTAATAAACCCCTCGCCTGAACCAAGCATTATTCCCGCGGCCTTGGAAAATGAACGATGGCTATAAGCGTGAGCCAAGTCAAGGCGATGACTTTCACCTTCACTTAGGATTGAGAGACGACCGTCGCTGTCGGTAAGGATGACTTTTGAGTTAGGCTATCCGAAGTCAGTAGTATGAGAGCATTAGGATAGAGTTGTTGACAGGAGCTGCGTATGCAAAACAAGTCAAGTAAAAACTGGGAAGTCGACATGTGGGAAGAAGCTCTGTTGCGGTCGGTACTTACCTAGGTACTGCCGGGAGCCATGACGCTTCATCGTACCTGAAGAAGCCACGTCTCGAAGCACTTGCTTCTATGACACTGTCTTCTGCAGTGAGAACAGAGAAATTTCACGGGGGAAATAACAGCAACTGTGGCGATGAGATTGGGATGGTTTCGGACATGAGCGATCGATGCGATTGAGATACGGCCGCCACATCAAAATTGAGTTTGATTCAAAATAAACAACTTATCTGGAAAGGTAGAAATGCACCAAGCTTGACTCTATGCTTGTTAGTATTGGTGTTGCAACATACACAGATCCTTTCTGCTATACTCAGGTGCCGGCACCTGGGTGTCATAAAATACTTGACATACTAGTACACAAAGGCCAGCGTAGTCGAAAAACACGCTTATTAGATGGTAATTACCATACTGTTAAGTATTTTATGACGCCCAGGTGCCGGTAATAACGAAGCATTACCCCACGCGACGCGGATATCTGCATCCTTCCCTGGGGCTGGCCGACATGAACACACATCGTTACGATGACAAATTTCATCTTTATGCATGCCCCAAAGGCATATAGGATCGGATGGCCTGTGAATGTCCTGGTGTGGCCTGCCTATTGCGGCAAGACGCAGACCTAGGCCCAATTTCCGGTCAACGACTCATGGCATGTTTCCGGCCAACGTGTGCTTCCGTATCCACAACCGCGCCTTGAATCGTGCCGCTCGGGAGATCTGCAAATATTGGCTTCCATGTTTGAACTACATTCTGCCGTACCCCATTGGTGCTCTGCGAGCAGCACCTGCCCCTGCATCCTACGCTCTTGACGCCACATGCCTGCATACGCGGCTCATGTGGGGGCCATATGGGAATGAATCTAATCGCTTCACTTCGAGTAGCCAAACAACGGTCATACGCAGAATTTATTCGCAGTTTTATCTGGAATAGGTCCGGTACATAGTTGTCGCGTCATCGCGAGATGCGAGTTTATTTGCGATTGTTGACATAGGAAATTTAATCCTTTCAAGCTCCCATCTGAAACACCACTGTCGACTACTTTTGAACATGATATTTGCCACTTCTCTCCGACTTCTAGCTGTATCTGTCAGCTGGGTAGTCGCTGCTTCAATTAATACCCAGACTACAACCATTCCGACAGCTGATAATATTACTACCTGCAACAACCAGGTGTATAAATACGATACGCTCGCTGGTTACGGAAAGCTCCCCAGCAATACCCGTGACAAGTACGGCGACACCATTGGCGGTATCGGAAGTGCCATCGCATTGGAGCCGAAGTCTTGGAAACTCGCAGGTGATTCGTATACAGGTGTGGTCTATGGTCTACCTGACCGTGGCTGGAATACACAGGGCACACAGAACACCCAGAGCCGTATTCACAAGTTCTACGTCAACTTTACACCGGTTGAAGCCAAGATCGAGAAGCCAGCTAGTCCTAACCTCAAGATTGTTTACAATGACACCATACTCTTATATGGGCCCGACAGCACTCCTTTGACAGGTCTCGATGCCACTGGAAGGACCCAGTACCCGGGGTTTCCAGATCTACCCATGGCCCAATGTAAGCGTACAGCCGCTTCTCTCGTTAGACATTGCTTACAATTGCAGATACTGGCAATGGTTTCGGTGGGGAAGGAGATGGCGGTAGTCGTATCTCCCTAGACTCTGAAGGTCTAGTACTCAAAGACGGGAATTTCTGGATAAGTGACGAGTACGCTGCCTACATCTATGAGTTCGACCCAGAAGGAAAGATGAAAAGTGCTACCCCAACCCCAGATGCCATCACCCCTCAACGCAACGGCACGGATAGCTTCGACGCAGACTCTCCACCCATCTACGATCCCACATACACTATAACACCCGAAGATCCCACTTCCGGACGATCAAACAACCAAGGTCTAGAAGCTCTGACCTCGAGCCCAGATGGAGAGTACATCTACACCATGCTCCAAAGCGCCACCGTCCAAGACGGCGGCACCTCCTCGAAAAAGCGTCGCAACACCCGTCTCTTCGTTTACAAAAACTGCAACGGCACAATGAAGCTTGAAGCCGAATACGCTGTCCAGCTTCCCGTTCTCCCCAACGACAAAGTAGCCATCCAGTCCGAAATGCACTATATCAGCCCCACCCAATTCCTCGTCCTCGCGCATGACTCCAACGCCGGCCGCGGACAGAAGTCTTCCGAGTCACTCTACAGGAACGTTGATGTTATTGATATTTCTAAGGCCACCAATCTGGTCAATCAAACAGGTGTAAATGACGTTGGCGGACAGATTGCGAGTAGTAAGGGCAAGCTCAAGAAAGATATCCAACCCGCCGAGTACTGTCCCTGGTTATCCTTCAACGACAACGCACAGCTCGGCAAATTTGGTCTACATAATGGCGGTGTGCAGGATGTTAATTTGCTGAATGAGAAGTGGGAGAGCCTGGCTCTGCTGCCTGTGGATGCGAACGACTCTATTGGTAGATCTGCCGCTTCGTCGGATGATAAGAGTGCAGCGAGGGAGTTTTATCTCATCTCCTTGTCTGATAACGACTTTATTACTCAGGATGGTAAGTAGCTCATCTCATCTCTAGTAGTTGAATCTAGGACGTGTCGCTAACGGAGTGTTGCAGGATATATCAACGGTGGCCAGACCAGGTATGCTGATGCTTCGGGTCTTGATCTTGACATCCAGGCTCTGGTCTTCAAAGTCAAGGTGCCGAGTGCAATGTCTAGCACAGAAGATTAGGATAGTTGAGATGCGTGGTGGCATATCGTGATCGACTTACATGGGTTCTGGGTCAGTGAGACTTGAGCGTCTAATAGATGAGTATGGCCAATTTTGAAAGCATAATATTCCGTGGATATCCATAGGGATGCAGCTGGCAATACATAACAATACCCGCAATAAGGAAACCCCAACAACTCCAAAGATAAGAAAATCATGTCAGCATGACCCCGAAATACACAAAGAATACTAGACATGTGAATCCATCGACATGTGCTGCCAACAGACCATATCCCCGTGCCGTGTATCCATAGCACATACAACTGATCGTATGAGCCAAAACAGGGAAATTCCCATATCCCCAAAATAAGAATGCCATGTAAGCAAGACTCCAGAGTCCACAAAGAATATTGGACATGTGAGTCAATCGACAGATACTGCCAACAGATCATGTCCTCATGCCGTGTATCCATAGCACATACAGCCCATCGTATGTGTTGCAAAACAATTCAAGCAAACAGATAACAAACTAAAGATTTTTCGTCATCCTCCTGCCGCCTCCTTCTCAGCAAATACCTCTCACTCACTATCCGAGCCAGAGCTCTCTTCATCGTCATCGGAAGACGTGTCATCAATACCCCCACCCATTTGCGGACTCGACGCATAACCAGAAGTGTGGTATTCTTCCTCTTCTTCGTCCGCCCCTTCTTCGTCCATGTCATCGGCTTTCCTCTTCGCAAGCACTGAAGTCGTTTCTGAGCCAGCGAGAGTTTTGCCACCGTATTGGCGAGTATCGGAACTCTCAGTCTGGTCAGTGTCTGCCGAGTTGCTCCTCGTAGGACTGGCATGCGCAGTTGTCGTCTCATTCAGTGCTTTCGACACCTCCTTACCTCTCCTGTCCTGATGTCTCCTCAACTTCTCTTCTTCTCGTCTATCCAGCTCCTGATCGACTTCCATCAGAGCAAGCTCGAAAGCCTCCTCCGTTCCATTTTCATGGGCAATCATTTCATGGTAAACTTTGGAGCACATCTGATTGTGCGTAACTGGACCAATCTTGGATTTGAAAACCTTGCCCGGCTTCAAAGCACGGGGCTTCCATGTTGATAGACCGGGGGCTTCTTGGCGTACTACAGCCCCTGGGGGTAAGTAGAAGTCCATTGTCGCACGCTTGCCCATGCCTTGCTTGCTTGATCCACAACCAGGGCAGCTTTTCTTGTCGCCAGCAAGGTAGTAGCGTCCGAAGGCATGCCCGACGTCACATCTCCAAGCATACTCTTCATGTTTATCTTCTTTTTCCCAGTATGATCCATCCGGGATCTCTTGTCCATGCTCCATAGTCGTAGAGCCACTGGTGTGAGGACCAAGATCGGGCTCCGGCTCCGGTTCAAGCTCAGGCGTGGGTGTTTTGGGTAGTGGCTTCGGCTTCGGCTTGAGCCATTCAACAACAGTATCTGCAGCGACTTGCCGTGCCTCGTCGTGAGTTGCACCGGCATCGATAGCTTCCCAATAAGCATCTTTCGCCTTGGCGTTATGACATATACTTGAAGCCTTTCGTGCTTTTTTCAATGGCTTCGTTGGTTTCCAATGATTGTCTGGTACAGGTTGGTAAAAATAGGTCCTTGATGGCATGAAAAAGTCCATTATATTCACCGGACTATCTCGGACATTAGTATTGCAACCTTTACATGATTTGCAGTCTCCAGCATTGTAGTAACTACCAAGTGCATGGTTGATGCCACAACGCCAAGCTGGCTTCTCATCGATAGACATTGGTTCAAAGTAGGCAGTGGGAGGAATCTCCTGGTGGTCCTCGAGGGTCCATGATCCACTTGGATGGAGCGCCTGCGGCCTAGGATTCATCACCGACTTGTTCGAGGACTTGGCAGACATCGTTTTCTGTTTGATAAAAACGGTAGCTGTGGGCTGTCCTCCTGCAGCTTCTTCCATTATCCTTCTCTTCTTCGCAGGCCGTCGCGTACTTGGAGGATTAGTAGGGATTTCTATTGTTGGAACAATAGTATTGTCATCTCCTGCCTCATCGACTTGCTCTTGATAGTCACTGTTCGTGGGACGAAATCCTAGGGCGATAGCAGCAGCCACAGCTTCTCCGGTACTCATAACCGCTCGATCATTGGTCTGTAGTGGGTACCCCCGCCTTCGTTCCAGCCACTGTTTGTAGTCTTTGACTAGCTTTGATCGCCAAGTATTGACCTTTTCCGTGTGTGCGATGTCCTCAGTTAGTGCTGGTGAATTAGCAAAATTGATGTCGAGAATGCCATCTTCGTCAGAACCCAAGAGTTCCTCAAACTGGGAAAGGGGGGGCTGAGCCATATCATGTTGATACTCTGCGGGCTCTACGAATAGTCCAGCAGGATGGTCACCATCCTGGACATGGTGCGACGCTGATAGCCTTGGTAACAATTGGAGTGAGTTTTGGGTATCCGACTTGTGAATTGGCTTGTTTGTAGGACGATTCACGACTGGAAGACTGTACTGTGGAAATGCAAGCCAATCCCCGCGCGGTGCGACAACTGGCTTCTCCCTAACAGCTGCTCCGTATGAGCGCTCGCCTCTTTGTTTCTTAAAAGTTGGCAGTCTCACAGCTCGACCTGCGGGCAAGGTCTTGTGGCAGTTGCCCTTAAGAAGGGTATTGGTGACTTCTTCGATTTCTTCCAAGGGATCAACACCATGGTCGAGACTGTAATCATCCGTTGACAATCGTACCATGGATGGCTTCTGGCTGGCACGGTGCCATAATGTGCTCACCCTGTCTGCTACAGGGAATAAGTTATCAGGCCCATAGTCTGAGAAAGCCTCTGAGTTGATCTTGTACACGTCCAAGAACGGTGCACCTTGCTTCTTGTCGTTTGCCAGGAGATGAACAGTGCGACAATGGGTGTTTCGAACAATTTTCTTCGTAATATGAGTGATGTCGCGAGTGACTGTTCTCATGTAGTCCTCCATAGTGGGCTGTGCACAGTTTCCTTCTCCAGAGCATTGAGCGATCTGCTTGGGATGCAAGGCATGCGCCACAAAGGCATTCAATGATGTAAGTTCGTATGCCTTCTGGCTCGCTTCGTAAAGGATAAAGTTAGAGTAGTCCTTCTTAGAAGCTCGGCGGGTAGGAAGAACATCATTTCGTGCTCCATTCGTATGTGAGGGGTCCTGAGAAGTGCTGTTGCTGTTCAGGATACCTGTACTGTGTGAGTTGTGTAGCTTCGGTAAAGAAGTATTATACATCTTACTTGAACCCAGAGGAAGCTCACAAGGTATAATGAGTTCTTCATCAATTCCCGACCTGAGCATTGAGCCTCGGTTGCATCCGGCTTGCCCATGTTGGTCGAGGTTGCTTGGGCCAGCTGCAGCTTCAATAGTGCTAGGTGGTGGAAGCGCACACAAGGAGCTATCGCTCCAGTCGACTTCGTCCTCGTCGGCGTACGCCATCTCCTTGACGAAGAGATACTGCTTACGAACTTGATGGAGACCAGGGCTTGTGAGGATAGACAGGAGCAAGTGCTTTTGAAGAGGGAGACATTAAAAGCATGTGGTCGAAAAAGCCATGACGCGTAACCTGATGCACTGACAAACAGCGTGCATAATAGAACCGGTAAGTTCAGCCATGCTGCAACATGGGGTTCATGTTCGAGGTTCGGCATCGGCGCGATCGAGTCACAATTTCTGCGTTTGCCGTAGCTGCAAAGACTGACCGCCACCTAAGAGCTGAAATGCTCACAGTCGGCGTTGAGTTATTGACAAACAGAGCCTTCTGCCTGGAGCGATCATTGGTCACAAACCCGATGCCGCTGCACTTGCGCGGGGTAAAGAGCCGTTTGTTGCTCAGATACAGCTACAGCTCTCGGCCTTGGTAGCTGCGTCAAACACACTGGCGCTGGAGATGATAGGATCACGAGATCGTAGGCAGAAGACTCTACAATAAGGGCGGTGAGAGACATAAAACTGGATTTGCTGGTTTGGAAGTCATATCCGTGTTGGACAGGCAGCTCAGATATCACAATAAGGTAAGTTGTGCAGTTGTTGAGGTGGAGCGAAGTGATGTTTGTCGATAGCAGCCACAACGGCGATTAAGGGTTGAGAAATGCATGCTTGCATTTTCACCTTGAACAGACGTAGATTCGAAAAAGCCGGGGTGATGGAGGGATCACATGATTTTCAAACGCTTAAGGTGAGGCCCGCCAACAACCTGTGACCACAGAAGAAGCACGGTAGATATTGTGTATGTAATCGACACTGGTATCGACGAGTAGCTTCTAATACCGTACATACCGACGTTGATAGCACCCAGGGAGCGAGAAAAAGTTGACACCTCCGTTATATTCGAATCTTTGCACCTTCGTCCTATTACTGGAACTGTTGGTTGGCTTTGCACTAAGTGCGTAAAGGGAAATAACGATAACTAGGAATGCATTCTGTTCGGTGGTTCTAATTGATATCTACGAACATAGGTGCTACGAAGGTATACCTAAGCTCTTGCGCAAGGTGGGCCGAAGTCGGGCCGAAGTGTCCAGCAGCCGACGTCTCTACCGATACTCACGATCCGACACTGGAAGTCTTTTCTTTCTGGATAGCTAGTAACTCTGCTTGTATCGGTAGTGACAGTGTATAGCATTAAACATCAAAGCTTGTTGGCCTCTGCACCCATCCATCTACTCGGACTGTCAGCTTATTGCCGTCAATAAAGCGTTCAAGAGCGCGGTTTGGCGATGCCTTCGTGAAGGCGTCTGCAGGATTGTCTTCGCCATTGATCCAGCGGATCTCCGTGATCTCGCGACGCTCATATGATTGGCGCAGCGCCATAATATCGATCATGAGGCGCTTCTCCTTCGTTGTCCCAAGCTTTACTAGGCACTCGTACAAGGAGTACGAGTCTGTACAGATAACCAAGGGAATTGCAGGTAGTCCAAGTCGTTCTGTAACTATCCTTAGCGTGGTTGCAACCGCGATGCCTATGTCAAAGCCGTTGACCATGCCGTAGATCTCTGAGGCCAGTACGCTCCGTGTGATGCGCTTGCACTTTGTAGAGCTGTAGTGGATCACGTTGCCTTGTATTGTGAAGGTGTTGGCGCCAATGGACTCGTTGACGAGCATGAGGACAAAGCCTAGCTGTGAGCTGAGGTCCTTGTTGTTGGCAAAGGAGCCGTCTACAAAGACTATCAACTTAGCCTCCGTAAGGTTGACAGTGACGTAGCGTAGGCCACGAGTGAGATTCTCCATCTGCCATTTCAGGCGCTTGTTGAGTGCCTTAATGTCCTCGTCTGATGGTTGCTGCGCTTGAGCAGCTACGGACAGATCAAATGATGCCTCTGGTTGGCATGTTGATGCGATGTACGCTCCGCGGGCGCGTTGCTCGGTGTACTGTTGCGCGCGGTCGGGTGCCCTAATATCAACAAGCCTGACCCTTCCTCCTTGTCCTTTCTGCCTGAGGATTAAGACTCTGCTGGCGTCCATCGTAAGTGTACATCCATTAAAGTCTAACTGCACCTCTGGTGTCAGCATAGCCTTTGGTTTTGATCTAAACTGCGCCTTCTGGATCTTTTTCTCTTCGCGTGATAAGAACGCGGTCGTTCCGAGCATGAGGGTGTCGTCTGTCTGCATACCGACGATGCCGAAGACGTCTGCGTCGTCGCTGTTCGTGATCAACAGGCATGGGTCGTACGTAGATGTTGACATATCTAGTTCCTTGCAGTGGTGTCCGTGATATGTTGTCCACCAGTGGACTCCTGCCTCCGCGATCCCATATAGTGGCTTGATCACGTGGAGTATCGTGCCTTCTGGATATCGATGTACCAGCTCGGTAGGGAGGTGTGCGAGTATCGTCCTCTTCAGTGTTGTCTGAGCCTGTGGGTATGCCTGCGTAATATCACGTAGCTCAACGCTCATGCCGCTTTGTACTAGCCCAGGCGCCAGCGACATAATCAGGCGCTGGCTACATCGCTGGATGGTTGGCGACTGCGTTAAGATAGCCTCCTTGCCATAGTCTTGGTAGCCTTGGATAACCAGACGGGATTTCTCATAAGGCTTAGTTGTCTTTCCCTTGACCTCACGTACTAGGCGTGACTTAAAGATCCGGATCTTGCTGTGTAGCCTCTCGTCGTATTGCTCAAACTTGAAGACTCCACGACCTACTAGGTCGCTGATCTCTTGGTCATCAGACGCTTCAAAGGGGGCGCCTGAGGTTGTGATCACGCCATCGTTCCGTAGCTTGATAGCTAGCTCAAGATCGTCCTGCTCCTTCTTGGTGATGTACGCGTGCGCCTTCCGCTTGTTCTTTGACCCTGGAGGGCGGCCTCTTCTACGTGGTTGCGCTGCCGGAGGTACTGCTATCGGCTCGTGCGGCTCATTCGGCTCATTCGGCGCGTGTGGCGCATCAGGGTCGCTCCACAGGTGGTCTGGTCTGTAGTATGGCTTAACGACAGTTGATCTGAATGTCGCTGGACCATTAACCATGTCGACAGTGATGTTGTGGCCATCTGTACTGGCGATCTTGTACGGGCCATTCCAGCCATCACTCTCTCTCCATACTAAGACTTCGCTCTGGAGTGGGAGCGCGAGCATGTCTGCAGTGGCTGGTCCATTGCGGGTGTTCAAGGCGTCTGCAACTTGGCGCTCTGCAGTGAGCTTGCGCAGGGCTTTCGTCGCCTTTTGAATAGCCTCGCTGCGTTTGACCATTGATGGTGATGGCGGTGACTCTGCAGTCATTCGTGGGTACGCTCCAAAGACTAGTAACGTCGGGACTAGTCCATCAGGGCCAGCAGTATCGTTAACAGCCTTCACAGCCATCTGGAGAATCGCGTCGTCGGACATAGTGTCAGTGAGTTCTGCATGGAGTATGTCCCATGCCCGGCGTAGAGGGGCATGGTACCTCTCAGTTTTGCCGATAGACCAGTGCGCCTCCGTAGGTACTTGCTTGCATGTGACTCCCATGATCTTTGCTTCTGCGCGGAACTCTGCGCTCGCGAAGTTAGTACCTGCATCATGCGTGATGATGTCGGGTGGTCCCTGGTAGGTGTCGATCCATAGTATCCGCAGTGCTTGCCATGTTTCTTTAGCTGAGATAGCGCTGAGGAACCTCGCGCCTTGAAACGCTGTTGAGGAATCGACCACATGCAGTACAGGTTTGTTGCTTAGGTACATTACGTCCACCAGGATCTCATAGTTGAAGTGGTGATCATCCTTAAGAGTGAATTTGAATCGGCGCGGCGCGGAGCTGTGGAGCTGGCAGTGGTGGCAGAACTTAGTGACTTCTTCTAGGGTTCTTTCTTCGAAGTCGTTATGGCCAGCATCCTTTAAGAGTTTGACTAGTCGCGTAACAGCTGGGTGTCCAAACCGTCGATGGAGCCGTCGCAATTCTGTCTCCGTTAGGAACATAGTTGCTCTCTCTCTCTTGTTTAGATGGAACCAAGGATGTCCCCATTTGCGAATCACCGGGATGTGTACGTCATCCTGAACCAGCTCGTCTGTCGTATTGTTGAAGTATACCTTTAAGCGGTCCATGTCTGCAAGGCATAGCAAGAACGGCGTAGGCGCCTCGAGCACTTCGAAGTTGATTTTTCCGATCTCCGTAGAGACCTGCACGGTGCCAATCGACGCTGTAGCCTCGCCTTTTCCGAATTTAATAGACGCTTTCCCTGCTGTAGATGTGTCTAACTTAACCGTCGGATCTTCTCTCGTAAGTGCGAGGTATTGCTCCTTGCCGACCGTGGATACGTTTGCAGCGCCTGTATCTGGTAGGATTCCTTGGTACACAGATCGTGTGTAGCGGTCCTCAAGCAGGAACTGCGATGCTGGTGCTGACGGCGCGTCTCGGCTGTATATGTCGTCGCCCGAGATATGATGCAAGAACGCCTGGTCTGCAAGGCATTGCTCCTTGAAGAACTGGTGTTCAGAATGTGCTTCCGCGACGTCGTCATCCTCGTCATCCTCGCAGTCTTCCTCCTCTCTCCAGCCTCTCTGATTGTACTGGCTGGTGTGCTCGATCCCTTCGTATTCTGCAAGATGTACGGAGAAGTCCTCAGGGGGCTGTGCACCTGTAAAGTATAGCGTAGAGAAGAACTGCGCACGGGCATCTTTGCGCTCTTTATCTGTGTGGTTGGTAGACCAGCATCCTTCCTTCCGGCAAACAAAGCATTTCTTCCTCCAACGTGGCTTGAATCCTCGTCCGTTGTCGTCGCGCTGCTCGCCTCCTCGGTATGCTCCTCTGGATCCGCCTCTGAATCCTCCTCCACCTCGAGATCCACCTCGGATCCTTCCATTGCCGTTGTATCGGCGGTCTAGGTAGTATTGATCTTCTGTGACCAACTGGGCGGTGTGTTGCCGTGCTAGGTGTGTTTCCACTGCGGATCGTAGATCTGAGAAGAGTCCTTCACAGATTGTGGCTGGCTTGAACAGTGCCATCTCAAGTTCTGGTACTCCTCGGCAGGCATTGATGACCGTAGTGCGGAGGGCATCCTCACCCTCAAAGTTCTTGCCAAGGGCACGCTGGCATAGCTGCAGCTTGTCAAGCAGGATCTGCAGAACCTCGTGTAGTCCCTTATCAGGGTTCTCTGCGCGGGTGCGAGCGAAGGTTGTAGTCGTCCAGTCTGTGTAGTAGTGCTGGTGATGGACGTCATGGTCGAAGTGGTTTTTGATTGCCATGTACGCATCAGCAAAGCTATCATCTCTCTCTACAACCTGTATGTAGAACGTCTCTGCACGCCCGGTAAGGATACGGGGAAACACTGCGTGAAACTGCTCCTCCTGGACATCTACCTGCCAGCAGATGCTGAAGAAGATCTTAATCTTATCGTCTAGGAGATCGTACGCATTCCCTGTATACTTGTTGCTATTGTCCCATAGCTTAGAGAACTGCGTGATCGTATTGGCTTCGAGCCGATCGTTGCGAGACCATCGCGGCGGTAGCGTCTTGTACGGGTCATGTGGTAGGCCAAGGGGTCTGTCAGGTACTCGGTTTGTAGGTTGCTGAGGGAAAGGTGTCACCTCGCCGTATGCGGTCGCTGGGGGTCGTGTCTGTGTCTGCGGGTACCATTGTTGTGGTTGCATAGCCTGCTCCGTTTGTCGAGGCTGTGGTCCTGCATAGGCATTGATCGCGTAGGGCGGTTGTTGTAGCTCTTGATATTGCGGGTGGCTTCGAACGCCTTGTCTCACTCTATACTGCTCGCCCTGTGACGGACGTTGTGGCTGCGGCTGTAGCGGTTCCAGTGGCTGCGTCTGTTGCAGTGGCTGCTGCGCTTGTCTATCTATAGGGGCTGCTAGATGTGCGTTCTGCTGACGCTGGTACGCCTCAGAACGTTCGTCAAACTTCTCGGCCTTGAACTCTGCAGGGTCCCATTCGGGAGCGTTTTCTCCTCCTAGTAAGTTGAAGAGGGAATCAGCTACTCTAGCCCGAAATTTGCCTGTATAGACTCCCCTATACCGGAGCACAGTCTTCAGAGATCTTAGCGTAGTGCGCTCAACCTTCTGGAATAGCTCTCGTGTCCATCCTTCAAAGTCCCATTGGTAGTCGAAGTATAGTCTCTCATCCCATTCCATTCCTACATGGTAGTCGTGGATAGCCTTCGCGACCCAGGTTGTTGCGTGCGTCTCGTCTGCATCCTCTGGTGCGGGTACACCCCAGAGAGATGGGTTGATATAGTCAAACGTGACTGTGTATGGACAGTGTCGCATAAGGTGTTCAGCAGTAAACTTCGCTCCTGGGGATATAGTTTCTGCGCGCTTGCTTGTATTGCGTTCGGATGGATAGTTGAGTAGTTGCTCTTGAACATCAGCGTCTGTATCGCCAGAGTTGCTCTGGCTGCCTGCCATCGTGCCGGTGTATATTGACGCGTTGCCTTGTCTTGTCTAGCTGGTTGGTCGGTTCCAGCGCTTGTGGTTGTACGTGATAGGATCGTCCGGGGACGCTCGTACGGAATCGCTACGCGTTGCTGACGCACTATAGTCGTCCCGAGACTTCTCGCGTCGGGATATCAATAGTCTGTCGCTCTGCGCTGCTGACGTGCTGTAGTCGTCCCAAGACTTCTCGCGTCGGGATTTCAACAGTGTGTCTTTGTGCGTTGCTGACGCGCTGTAATCGAGCTTCGGCCTGGATTAGCAGCTTAGAGGGAGGTTTTGATCGCTATGCGTTATCTCTGCCTCGCTCTGTTCTTAGCACAGAATCTTCTCTCAGGAGTATAACGTCGTGCGTTAGGGAGGCTGTCAAAGATGCGGTCTGTCTCTTCTTCCTTGCTGTCTGTGATCGCCTCAAGCAATCACTGATCAGTGTTGGTTGGCTTTGCACTAAGTGCGTAAAGGGAAATAACGATAACTAGGAATGCATTCTGTTCGGTGGTTCTAATTGATATCTACGAACATAGGTGCTACGAAGGTATACCTAAGCTCTTGCGCAAGGTGGGCCGAAGTCGGGCCGAAGTGTCCAGCAGCCGACGTCTCTACCGATACTCACGATCCGACAGGAACATTAATAATGGTTTTTCTATCTTATATTCTCTTTCTTTACTCTTCATTTTACCTCTCTTATAAGCCTTGATTATCATCAAACTACGTTGTTGTGGTCGTGGAGAGGGAGGAAGAGAGGGTGAAAGTGAAGTGTCACTGGTTTCTCGCTCCCTGGGTGCCCGGGTGATAGCATCGTAGCCCTGACCGGGGAGTGGAGGTGAAGGTAGGAGCGGGCGGACAGGGAGCTTGGATGACTAAGCCATGGTCCAAATGCGATTGGTCGGCAGGTTGGACCCTGGAACTTAAGTCGATGTGGCATTTCAGGCGTCTTGGAGTCTCAAGCCTGCAATTGCTTCGACTACATTGAAAATGGGGAGGAAGCACGTTTCTTCATTAGCCTTTATACTGCCCATCCTCGCCAGCACTGCAGATGCGGCGTCAGACCCCGCCAGGCCGCGGGGTGTAGGCCCGGAGTGTATGTTGTACCTAGTGAAGCTTATGGAGAGGTTACAAACACAACAAGCTGTGTACTGACAGTCAATGTGTAGTTGCAAAGTACTACAAGGACGCCGAGACATTTAGTTGTATTTCGAATCCTTCAATCACGCTTCCCATTTCCCGCTTGAACGACGATTACTGCGACTGCCCTGATGGGTCCGACGAGCCAGGCACAGCGGCATGTGCATACCTCTCACCGCTCTCCCCACCCCAACCTTTGAGCTTCAAGGCCAAGGACGTCAACGCCACGCCTGCTCTCCCCGGCTTCTATTGCAAGAACAAGGGCCACCAGCCGAGCTATATCCCCTTCACAAACGTCAATGACGGCGCATGCGATTACGAACTCTGCTGTGATGGCAGCGATGAATACGAGGGTGTGGGCGGTATAAAATGTGTGGATCAATGTGCCAAGATAGGCAAGGAGTGGAGGAAGGCGGACGAGGCGAGGCAGAAGAGCCTCAGTGCTGCGAAGCAACGGCGGAAAGAGCTCATTGCCGAGGCTGGACGCATGCGGAAGGAGGTCGAAGACCGCATAGAGACACTCAAGACGAAGATTGAAGGTGCGACACTGCAGGTCGATGAACTGACGAAGAATCTGGCAGAGGTCGAGAGGGCAGAGCGAGGCAAGGCCGTCAAGGGCGCAGGCAAAGGCGGAAAGGTCACAGTACTGGCTGGCTTAGCTAAACAGAGGATTCAGGAGCTCACTGACAACGTCGTCCGGGTGCGCAATGAGAGGAATGCTGCACAAGCGAGAGTGGAGGAGCTCGAGGGTATGCTGAAGCGCTTCAAGGAGGAGTACAACCCCAACTTCAACGACGAGGGTGTCAAACGCGCCGTCCAAGCTTGGGAGAACTATGCTGCACAAGAACGGCCAGGCGCCAACGACGCTCTGGATCGTGATCTCGATGAGATTTTGAACCTGGAGTCCGAGAGCGCCATCAAATGGGAAGAGTTTGAGACCGTTGACGAGTCCGACGTGGAGCTACGTAAGTGCAGGCCTGAGGACACGCGCCAAATACCGAGCTGAACTGACCAACCTCTACAGTTTACCAATTTGAAGAATACCTACCTGAGTCTGTGCGTGGCTGGGTCGACAGCAAGCTCCGCGACCTGCGCGTCATGCTCATCGAGAACGGCATCCTCGCCGACACCTCCGACCCTGACTCGCCCGAACCCAAGGCCGTCACAGACGCAAAGTCTTCGCTCAACTTCGCCAAGCAAGAGCTAGATAACGACAAGTCGGAACTCACAAAGCACGAAGAAGACCTCACAACCGACTACGGCCCCGACTCCATCTTCCGCGCCCTCAAAGGCCGCTGTACGTCTACCGACTCGGGCGAATACACATATGAACACTGCTTCCTTGACAAGACGACGCAGAAGCCTATCAAAGGCGGTGGTCATACTGGCATGGGCAACTTTGCGCGCATCGATTCCATCACCGTCGATGAGGTGCTACCTGCTGACGGCAGGGGCTTGGGCAGCGGCGAGCGCATCGCCATCAGGTACGAAAACGGTCAGCATTGCTGGAACGGCCCGAACAGGAGCACATTTGTCATTCTGGCGTGTGCGGAAAAGGACGAGATTTGGAAGATTGTTGAGGAGGAGAAGTGCGTGTATAGAATGGAGGTTGGCACGCCTGCCGTTTGTGGCGTCGAGGTAAAGAAGGCTGCTCCAGAACACAGTGAGTTGTAAAAGCATGCGGATGTGAGGGGAAAATGTAGTAGGTGAGCGACATGATGATGAAGCGGTAGCTGAGCATATTGCGACTGATCCGCGGTGATCCTCAAGGCGCAAAACATGGACATAGATGACGTGAACGATAAACTTAAACTACTAAGCTTTTTCATTGCTACATCGGCTCCTCTACTAGACATGGCCCATGCTGATGATCGTGACAAAATGGAAGAATAGTATGTAAACTGTCATGGCAAAATGCATTCCCTAAGTGGATGTACTGCATATATATACATGGAAGAAGAAAACAGGATACAAGCCGTCCTTGGGTATCTCCGAATGATGGATCGACGTAAAGTAACTCCAATAACTCCTCTTTCATCCCTTGTTTTAGCTTGCGGAGTAGTGCAATCTTTGGCTGTCATCCCGCTATACCATCAAGCGTGATCACACCTAGGTGTCATAAAATACTTGACAGTGTGGGTAGGCACCGAATAGGCGTGTCTGGCGACAACAGTGACCCTTGTACACTAGTATGTCAAACCTAGGTGATCAAGTCTGCCCAAACAGTGAGCTCTTCCAGACTTCAGCTGTACTGTACATCCCAGCTCCTGTCCGTGCTCGCAAGCAGCATTTTGAATACGTTGCCTGTCGCAGGTTCTGTATCGACGACGTCCGTTGCTACCCGATAGTTTTGTAACCCGTCGTTATCCAGGAAGTCGAGGCGTTCCCTCCCAACTTGGTCGTCGCCGAAGCGAATGAATTGGATGCCGACTCCCTGAAGCTGGCCACTTTGTACTAGCTTGTCCACCAAAAGCTCGATGTGTTGTACCGTAGTCTCAACACAGTTATTCTCTTTTGACCAAACGCCATCGGTGAAGATGTATATATTCATCCCGGTCTTCTCGGCCGGCGCGGGCCGCCAGGACGATCGCTTGTCCGGTTGATTCTGAGGATAACGTGGAAGGATCTTGCTGAGTGCAAGGCCCATCTGACACTGACCGCTAGGCGTAACTCTTTTCAGAGTTCTGATGAGGTTCCTCCGGTCTTTACTGCGGTCGTCTAGTGAGCAGTTATTGGTGAAGCGGAGCTCGATGCCATCTGGGTCCAGTTCCTTGACTAGATATGCTAGAGCTTCGAAGACGCGTCGCACCTGCTCCCAGTGTTTTTTCATAGAATTCGAGTCATCAATGAGGAAGATCTGGTGGTACTTGGTTAGCTACTGTCTTGAGAATGATTTCCCACCCTTGCTGTACTTACCTGATCCCGGCCATGTAGTCTATGTAACCAGTCTTGATCTTTTAGTCTCACTGCCGAAGAGCTTTTCTTTTTTGAGATCCATTCCAATACTCCATCTATATTAGCATAGGGAAGATCCGACCCTTCTTTAGCCAACATGGGCGATGCACTAGGGCTGTCATATCTATACGACATCACTCTGGATGCGCTTCCAGGTGTTCTTGGAACATAATTAGACGTTTTCCTTTTCTCTTCGATTATGTTTGAAGGGGAAGGGAAATGGTGGGTTGGCGATTGCATTGGTATTTGGCCTATTCTCAGCCCGAGCCCCTCGTGAGGAAGTACTGGAGGCGGTGATCGTTGCGCGGGTGACTGAGTAACGGCGGTCGGCTCCAGTGGCCTAGCCAAATCTAGAGCTTCTGTGATATGTTCGTAGACCGCGAGTGCGGTCGGTCGGTAGTCTTTATGTCCCATCATTTTCTCGATCGTGTGTATCACCTCAGGCATGATACCATCAATGTTTATTCGCCTTTTGTGTATAACTTCACGATGCTGTGTTCGAACAACGGGGAGCACTTTTGTGCCATCATGGAAGCACCCACTATAGGCGGTATTCCTTATTGATGGGACAGCAGAAGTTGCTGTTTTTCGTTTGTCATGGTAATCGATCCAACCCTTGGCGCCAAATACAGACCATGTCGCAGCTTCGCTGAGCACACAAGCTAAAGACCAAATGTCTTTGCTAGGGTTTGCTTGTTTTATGCTTTGCCGTTTGAAACTGTCTCCTTCTCCGCGAAAGTACTCGGGTGCGCCTAACACGGGTTAGCGTCGAGCGCGAGGCAGCTTCCCTGCTGACATACTATACATCTGCGTGCCATGTACATCGCGTGAATGCACTTCATGGTCAGAATCACTAGCTAGAACATATCCAGCGAGACCAAGATCTGAGAGTTTGAAAAAAACATCGTACGGACTTTCTCCGTACGGTTCGGACACAAGGATATTATCCGGCTTGATGTCGTTATGTAGACTGAGGAAATTAGCGGGGAACATCTACAGTAAGTGCGTTACTCCATACCCTTGTTGATACGAGTGCGCGTTCGCTGGGTCGGGATAATGGTGTATACTCGCAATTGGCTTTGTGATCTGTATGAAGTTCTCCCAGAATTTTAGGATGTGTTCTTTTGACATGGGCGGCTCAGTTTTGTTGAAATATTCTGTCAGGGTACCGCCTCCGACATATTCGCGCAGTATGTTACACGTATCCCCCTGAGTCCATGAGCCATAGAAGTGAGCTATGTATTGTAGAGCGTCTCCGCCGGTTGGGTGATTTGAAAGAGCCCTATACGTCTCCACTTCGTTATCGTAAAACTTCCTCCTGTTTGATCGACATGACTTCAAGATGAAGACGTTGGTAGTCGGTTTATCGTGCTCATCCTTAATGTGAAGCTGTCAGCGACTGTGCGATGTGTAAAGCTGTACACACACACACAGGGTAACCGTAACTTACCTGAGTAAGATAATTGTATTCCGGGAATACCTCAACCCGGAATACGGTAGAATTCGGGCCTTGTTTCAACACTTCCATCCTTTTGAACGGTATGACCATTTCCTCGGGGACGCATTTGTCGGTAAAGCGGCCTCGCTCGAGCCGCTTGGCGCAAAATGGCCATTGCGCTTTGTAGAATTCTTCGAAGAAGGACGTTGATTCACCAAACCAACCATTTGGGTGTTCGAAAGGCAGCCTGTCGTCTGCTAGGGAGTCGTGGCTCGTGAAGTGGGATATGTAAGCGCCCTTTCCAATCTTGAGAAGAATCGCGAACACAACTATGTACTTGTCCTGGATCACTTCTTGGTTGTGGGAAGTACGTTGAACGTAACATAGAAGCTTTCGCAGCCTCTCTTTGTCAAGGTATCTCTTGAGCTGGTGTATCGATATGAATGCTCGACCGCCAGCTGGCAAAGATTGATTCGCCGCAAATAACGTCCATTGTTTCAGCTGGTCAAGGAAGTCGCGAAGTTCATTGGGTGCCGCTCTAGTAGCCATCGGGGTTGTCGCGCATAGGGATGTGTCTTCTAGGCAAGCGGTCATGTAGGTGTGGAGAGCTGAAATGAGATGATGGCAGCGCCCCAAAAGATATCGGGGTGCCAGGCTTATAGGCTGCAAAGATTTTCCGTCGCCTTGCACAGCGAGGCTGAATCCTGACGGGTGCCTGGCAGCCATATAGGCTCGCTAAGCAATGAAGGACCCCGCCGGAGTCTGTCAGCCACCACTATACAAATCTACCTCAGCCGCCCCTCGACACATTGGTTGCGGTCTCATCTTCTCTGAAGTGTAGAGGACAGTACTCAAAATACGATAAGACGCGATGTTGATAAGAGAAGCAGTAATGGAACAGAGACGAGAACAAAAAGCAGTAGATTAAGCGCCAGCCGCTTTCAAGGCTGAATTGGGCGAAAGAGCAGCTACTTGCTGGCTTGATCCCGTCAATTTGGCACTGTACATGCGCGAGTGATTGAAGCCCAACCTTGAAGAGATAGGAAACATAGACGTCTTAATATGGTGATAACTAGGTAGGTAAGTAGGTTTCGGTCAAGCGAACTGAGAAGGCGCGAACCTGCCAAGACGCGCCGGTCCATTGCCGACCATTCAGCTCAAAGCATCCGATAAGCCCACTCATCTTCCCGACAGGTGTGGGTATCAACCTCCAAAAGTATGTATGGTTCGTTTACAGCACATTGTGCCTGTATACGTCTTCGGCTCGTGTGCGCCGACAGATTTCAGTCACAAAGCGGTACCTTAGCAGGCGTAGGCATCTCTTGTCGAAATGATATTGTTACTATAACTCAGGAAATCTATATTACCCATAAACTTAATTGGCTGTAAGCAACGCTCAATCGCCTGTGTTCTACCTATTTTACGCATATCTGCCACTTTAGACCTCACTGACCGCTTCAGATAGCTTGTCGGACCGAGCCTCAGTCTTCATTTTAGCCCAGCGATAGATAACGTACCAAACAAAGAATGTGAATGCCGTCAAAGGCAGGGATATGGCAAGGTATATGCTGAGGCCCTTTGTCTGCAGATCCTGTCTGTCATTCTCGAATTTGAGAATATCTGTGCTCATGAAAGTCTGTGCGGCATCAGTAAACGCGTAAGTGTGTAACAGATGACTGAGGACTTACGGCAATGAAGGTTGCCGGGAGGAAAAAGAGAGTCACTGTAGTGATCACTCTCATTGAAACAGTCTCTTGCGTAGTCTTTACGGCGAGGGCCTGCATCGTCAAGGTCATCTCCTCCATGCGAGCCGCGGACTCCCTTGACTCTTTGGCGTAAAATTCGCTGGCTTTGGAGCTTCGGTGCTGCAGCATACCGCTAACCTGTAGGTTGTTCATTAGCGTGGCAATTTTACACATATGTGATTCAGGATATTGCTGTATTTGATACGCTTGATGATGGTTCGACCAAGACCTTAACCGATGTAATTGCCTTGCTTTGTTATTCGAGATGCGAGGGATGGAAATGCCGATGCAATCGACTAAGAGAAATAGTATTTACCAATGTTTTTCTGTTATTCAAAAGGAGCAGTAGTGTTTCAATCTGTGATTCTAGCATGCGCAGGTCTTTTTCAACTCCAATTACACCTTTGTCAAAATTGAAAAGACTCTCCTCACGGTGGCGGGCCATCTCGTTGGGAAAGTTGGTGTGATGCGTGAAGTGTTGGTACTGCTGTCTTAGATGTGTAAGCACCTCCATATTTAGCTTCATATGAAGGAGAGCTTCTTGTGCCTTTTCTTCGATGTGCTGAATGTCCTGTAGGGTCTGAAATGTGAAGGTACCTGGAATTTTATCCAGTTCATCTTGCGATGTAGAGGGTGGTAGTTGCGGAGGTGGAAATTTGTTTGAAGACGGCGCCAGTTTCTCATTATCGGATGGCGTCGGTCTATTGCTGACATCTTCTACCTTCCACGGCCATGGAACGGACTTGAGGAGGGAACTTGGTCTAATAAATGCGAATTTCTTTCTCTTGGTAGGATCTCTTGGCAGCACCGTTGACCAAGTATTGTAACGAGTATTAAGCCTCGTTGGAGGCTGTGAAAGTAGCGATGGTTGCGATTGCATAGCATCTTCTGGAACGACAGCCGAAGGTATCGACAATGGAGATAAAGCTTCAAATCGCGACGCACGGCTTGGGTGAGGAGCCCAGGACGCTTTGCGAAAGATGCCTATACCTGTTCGTGGACTCATGACACTCGATACAGAGGGTGTCGTCACTAGCGTGAGTTTCTTCTCCACTTTGAATTCCAATGCTCCTTGTGTCGTAGCTTGAAGCTGATCTTCTAGCTCATTGATGTACCAACGCCAATTTTCACCTGACCAATTGCACAACAAGAGATGTATCTCGAGCGATGTATTGAATTCATCGCAAGAAGGTGAATGAACGGGCTGTCTTGGTTTCTTGGTAGCAGTATCGATATGGTTCAAACGTTCAAGAGCTTCGGTCACTCTCTCTTTGATGACTTTGTTCCCCTTGACGAATATCCAGAACGTTTTCCTAGTTTTCAGGTCGAACGTGTGATATACAGCACATTGTCGTATCGACCATGGTGAATGATCTTTGCACGGTTCTACTGACCGCAGGTTGTAGCACAACCGGATATCTCTTCCTGATCGGCCCAGCGCAGTGGGTATAGATGAGTCCAAATAGTTAGCTAGTCGAGACTCGTCTCTCAGCCCGCTGAAGTGGAAGTCCCGTGCGAATCCTTGCCGTCCAAACGGGAACAAAAAATCCAGAAATGACGGGTTGACCTGGAAGAACGTGCACAGAAAGCTAAACATGTCATGGGTAATGCGTAACGACGCTCGGCTGTGACCAGCACTCAGAAATCTGTTGCCGTTAGCTAGAGCTGGGGTGGGTTCAGTGATCTCTTACACGCATCGCCGTCTAGGGTCGATGTCCTCTGGTTGGGCAAAATTCCTGCAGCCTAAGATGAGTTCCAGTTCGCGTTGGTCTTTGACGCATGATTTGATATGACCTTTGATAGACTTAGTATTCATTGAGTTGACTGTGAATAGAGTACGTACAGTCCGTTGAATCGCGATATTCGAGGAAGTCAACAGCGGCCTTGTTTGGGTGGAATAGCGACCCTGACAGAGATTCCAGTCTGTCGGAATAACTCTTCACATTATATGAAGAGATATCATGCTGTCTTAGATTTCTTGGGTATTGACGATACGTTTTGCAGGAAAGAACGAATTGATCCATTGTTACTGGGTATATACTAGATAGTAGGCAAAGTGGCATTTCGACCCAGAGCAAGAGGCAAGCTAAATAGAGATGACCGGTGTACCAAGTCGGGCTGTTTCCAATTAGGCGAAATTTAACTCGGCCCCCAACAAGGCAGCGAATGATCCCGACTGATGATTCGTAGCGCCCCACGTTGGCGACTTCCCGCATCCTCAATCATCTTCCCATCGAAGATCCGCGAGCCCTTCCTTCTGTTCCTGATTGCTTTCAGAACTATCGACAAACTGGTGGGCATCAAAGATCACATACTGTTGATAATGCACTAGGGATCCAAAACTTGTAGTACCCGTTGACAACCTGTGCGTAATGATCAATCCACATATCCACAACAAGGATAAAGATGGTCTTACCGTGATGAGAAAATCGTAATGGCCGAACAGCCCGGTCAGGTATTTTTCCAAGTCCTGCTGATCCAGGCGGTACGTTTCAAAAGAGTCCCAGACGTATGCCATTGGCAATCCGACTTGTTGTAAGCGATGAGGCAGTGTTATGTGTGGCGTTAGCCCCAGTAGATCGTCGGTATGATCAAAATGGCCAAGATTGATTTAGGCCTAAGGTATGGATGTCTTCTACACCCCGCGCGCAGCCTTGACTGAAACATATACAAGAGTTAGGCTGTAGTTCTACGACGCGGCTCTGCTTCACTCCCTCATGGCACCGCCAGTGCTCCACCTTCATTGATAGAGCAGATAGGACTATCACCAGGCTATCTCACGAGCCGAATGACGATATATAATTTGTACATGCATGCAATAAGGAGTCATCTGCCATCCACATGAGTCTTTAGTGGTCAGGTCGTAATTCCGGTGAAAGATGATGCATGCATCACTTGTAATACCCACCTACCATATGTCGTGGATCAACCATGCTTCCTGTAGGCTGACTAGATAAGCTTGGTGGCTTCCAGGGCGCGGGGGCGAAATCTTATCCGCCTCAGAAGGCAAGGCAGACCTGTTTCTGAAGCCAGGACGAGTTTCTGCCTGTATGGTCCATTGGCGAGGGGAGAAGCACCATAGGCCCAGACCTGCAGGCGCAATATATCTAATTCGATTTCAGTCTGTCAAAACTTGATACATGCGCAGGCTCGGACGGGTGGAATGGTCGAATCTATACGAATGGCAACACGCTACTTGAGTGGGTGTAGATCAGGCTGTGTATCATAGCAAAAAGAACGCGTTGGGGGCGGATATGACCCAAACATACTGTGGGACACATCTTATCGCGTATCACGTGTACTTGGTTTCATTGAGTATTGATGTATCTAAGGTACGTGGTCTTGGTGCACGGACAGCATCCACGATGACGGAACTGCCCCGCTAAGAGTGACTCCAAGGCAGCCCCACCAAAATTTTGGTGCTGTCGAGTTCTGAGATCCGACTTTTAGAAAAATACCAGCAACGTTACCTCCTTGAAGGAATATCAGGAAAATCAGAATTAGGGAAATCTCTGTCTTTCAAATACTCCCAAAAAGCGCAGAAAAATGACGAAACCCAAAGATGTTCGCACTCTCGTCGACCTTACAAAAACCACACAAGCGCTCCTTGTACACTATCAATCCTCCCTCGCGCCGTCTAAGGAGGCTGTCTCAGGGTCTGAAACATCGGCCACTGAGATAGCAGACCCTCTCGAACTCATCAAGTCGTCTACGACCCTCCTCAAATCGCACACGACCACCCTTTCGCTCCTCCTGATAACCCCACCTCTCACGCCATCGGCGATAATAGCAAAGATTGGCGATGTCAGCTCCGGGCCGTTGAGTGGAATGGTTACGGCTGCTTCATATGTTCCGCGGGAGGGGCAGAGGGGCGATATTGGAAACATTATGCGTACAGAAGTCAAGGCGCAGGTACGGAGGCTGTTGGGATCGTGGGGAGACGTTCTAGTCATGATTTTGAAAATGGCAGAGAAGAAACAAGCTGCACAAGCAAATGGGGCGGCAACAACAAAAGAAAATGGGCCGACGGAAAGCGAGAAACAGGAAGTCCTCTCGGCAACCGGCGTGGTTTGGGAAGCATGTGACGTGTTGCTGAAGCTATGCGCAGATGGAGTGGTCGGGCTGGTCGTCAAGAAGGTGCAGGAATTGAGAGCAGTGTTGTTAGATGCGATTGAGGAGCTGAAGGAGTGGGGCGAAGACGTCGAAGACGACGACGACAAAGCAGAAGACAGCGATGACGAAGACGATATCTTCGGCGCATCGAATAAGCTTGGCAAAGATGACAAGGAGCTTAAGAAGCTGCTGGACGCTAGCGTTAAGAAGCTCAAGATGATTGGCATGCTATATCAAGCATTGATCAAGAGAAGACTAAAAACATACCCAGCGTCCTCCACGCTTGAACCTACGGCAAACGCGAACGGCACAGGGCCAAGTCCTAGCAAAAAGCTTGACGACTTGATGAGCATACTGAAGACGATACCGGAGACTGTTGATGATATAGCTGGCGCCTTTTACGATCTTGACGAAGACGAAGCGAAACAAACACTAGAAAAATGCTGTGCAGAGACAAAGAGCGCAATTGAGCTTGTAAGACAAAGTTGGACGGGCGAAGATGACGAGTTCACAGGGTGGTCTACCAAGTGGGTGAGCGCAATAGAAGCAGCATGAAAAGTTGACTCTGCGTATTCAAGCATCACTATCATCTATGTATAATAACGACGCTGCATCAGAAAATGGGTATGGTGTTTATTCCGAACAAAATGGTACAAGCAACGAAGCGGAAAATTCCTACATGAGACTCTCTCGAGACTCTTCCATTATCTCCTCCAGCTACATTATCATCCCCATAATTTACAATCCGAAAACAGCGGCAATACCCATAGCAATAGCACCGAACTCGACGGCCATGCCGGCGGCAGCGTTCTGGGTCTGCTGGGGAGGGGAGCCACCGGTAGCGGTGCCGCTGGGGGTGGAACCAGAAGGCATACCGGAGGCCATACCGGAGGGCATGGCACCGGAGGCCATGGGAGAAGAGCCAGAGGCAGTGGCGGTGGGGATACCGGAGAGAGTGACACCGGCCTGCTCGCAGAGACCAACAAGAGCGGGTTGGAGGTCTGGTATTGGGCGTCAGCTATGCAAATTTACAGATGATTTGGGATGTATTGGAACTTACTGGCAAGCTCTTGAGGCGAGCACTTGGTGGGTACGCACTTCATGAGCGCGGCAGTAAGAGGTTCGCGGCCGGTGGTGCACTGGCACTTGATGTCGGTGACCGAGCAGCCAGATGAGGGAAGAGCCTCAGAGAAGCAAGGAACCTATGACATCCGATTAGCAAATGATTCTAATCATGTTTTAGTAGCCGCAGATCGAATCCCGTCTTCATGTTGTTCAACATCGAAGCTTTCATCGAAGCGGTGACTACAAGAGGAGGCACGTACAGCGCATGAGGGAACAGCGCTGAGGTTGGGGGTGTTCTGGGCGCTAACGAGGGCAACGGAAGCCGCAACGGCGAGGACGGAAGCTTGGAAACGCATGTTTGCTGGTTTAGAAACGAATGGATTATTCGGAGTAATAGGACGAGGCGGTGCTGGTGAGGCAAAGGCAAAAAGGATTGAATGTAAGTGAGTTGAAGTGCTTGACTGGCGGACGAAGAGATGGGACGGGGCGCACAGGTATATAGCCTCTTTTTCCCGCAGTGAGGTGGAGAAGTGGGTACGTGTGCTCTGTGTTATTTTACCAGTGCCGCCCCCTAGCTAGTCTAGCTTACAGGTATGCAATCGACGTACTTGCAGTCAGACCTTGGGCCGGTTCCCCTGGAGTTATTAGGATACGATGAGCTTACCTGGTATTGGCTAGCGGTCTAGGGTTAGCGGAGCCACTGGCGGCGACTGAGAGTCGTCGGTGCATAAGTGGAGACCTTCTGATGCTGGGGCAGCGGATCGACGGCTAGGATGTGGCTTCGAGGAGCTGCGGTACCTGCCTTTGGGCCTTTTTGGTGAAGCGCAGGGTGTCTCAGGTTTGGAGCTATTAGGGAGCCGTGGCCGTGCTAGGCCTAGCTGGCTGACTTATCTCAGCCGAACTTGGACTACGCATCAACATCACAGCGCAGAAAAGCAATGTGCGTTTGCATGGCGACGAGCTTCGTTGTCGCCTCCTGATTTCATCCCTTGCAGCCAAAACGCCGTACCGCAAGTGCAGACTTAGGTAAGAATTTAGCGCTACCAAGGAACAAACACGCCCGTCTGCCGTACAAACTTCATCACGACCGGCGCCGAAGAACAGCCCGTATTAGCGTGGTTTATCACTCGGCGGGGTCAAGGCCGCTAAAACGGTCGCGCACGCACCGAGACACGGATGCTTCCCTGGCACTGTGGCTCCCATAGTCTTTGCGCGGTAGCCCTCTGGCTCCAACCTTCTGCTTTTGGGTTTCTTGGGTGTTGGGTATTTGGCCGATTCGATGAGGGTACGTCGTGCTTTGAGATGTAGACGAGGCGCGCTGGCAAATGAGGCCGAGATGGACGCGTCCACGAAATGGCCACCCCATGATTACGCGCTTTCTGCTTACTTATTGATTACTTCTTTGGTATAGTCTCGCAATTAATGCTTCATATTCGGCCTTGGCCAGGTTAAAAGACTACATGGACCTCGTAATTGCGGGTACGAAGAGCATGGAAAAGACCAAAAAGCCGTTATGATGATGAACGGGAAAAGGGCGGGTCCAGATTTGCTTGTTCGTCGCGTCGCAATCTCCATGTTTGATTGACGGGTTGAGTCGGGAAAAGAAAGGAAAGCAGCATGACAGCTGTTGCATGCGTTAGTGTGACGTCGAGTAAGCGTCCTGTGTTCGGGAGATGGAAAGTTCGATTGCTCGGGAGGAGGTGAACCGTTCCATAACAATCGATGATACATCCGCGCCACCCCTTCGGGCGGTAGTGCATGAACGGTAGCTACCGGAATACGACCTTCACCAAACATCTTCGGAGAAATTGGAGTACACCGTCACACCTTCCATCGACCTTCCATCCGGGCACTTGAAGTATTGAAATTCGTACAACTCGCATCGCGCCCGTATCTCTATCTACCGATCCTGTCACATTTTCGGCAGTCGTTAGTATGCAGGTGTCACGTACGGTAACAAACTTTGAGAAGTGACACTACAAAAGCCACACAATCCGCAATACCCACACAGATCTCCCACGTTGCAAGATTCGATTTTCGCAATCATGTATCCGTCTACTGGCCTACGGACAAACCCGGCAATCACATACGGATAGGAGATTGTTGCTGCAGCAGGACAATATGGATGCATGTTTGCGCGACTAGCTATCAGTCTTTGCCTCTACGACGGCATTGCACGGGAAAATGAAGTGTACTTGAAGTTCCTCTGGTCTCTTGCATTTTGGTTTGGGTCTTTTATCATAATCGCATCGGATTATCGTTTGCGACATAACGATGACTCCGCGACTGTAAACTTACTCATTATGAGTCCACTGAATTTTGAACTTTCTTCGCTATTAGCTCACAATGCCGCGTTTTATATGGTAGTGTTCTTGATGAACTACGGTACACGTGGGTCTTTCACAGTAACAGGGTAACTATGGATGTTGAGGACACATGGAAGAACTGGTTCATTGCTACCACAGCTTCTTCCTCTTTCTTGGAATCTTGCGAATGGATGGGTGTGCCAGGCTCCTATTCTTCATGTACACATTATTGCTCATGTTTACCACATACATCTTCGACAAGTCCGCAAAAAATTAAATACCCCCTTCACTATAGTAGGATACCTACTGTTGTGCAACGCCAGAAATAGCTATTATATATCACCTCTACTCGCTCTTCTCCTCGACTTCATCGATGGTCGTTTTCTCCTCTCTTCTTTTTGTGAAAATTTAATCAGGCATGGAGAATGTTGTGTGGTTCGGATAGCTAGCGTAAAATGCCACCCGGGAGCTACATTCGGTCCCAAAAGACATATGCCGCGTAGAACACGAGGCCATTCTAGAATTTTCTACTAGAAGGGTTGTGGAGTACCAAGTGTGTCTGGTTGTTTTAGATATAAGCTTAGTCGACCACGTCTCAAGTAGTCAGAGATGTCAACAAGCAAGTCAAGCTGGCTTGATTCTTATCGATTGCAGATCACAGACAATATAGAGGCTCGTGCACAGTGGCACGTCCCAGAGAATGGTCTGTGATCTGCAATCGATAAGAATCAAGCCAGCTTGACTTGCTTGTTGACATCTCTGCAAGTAGTAGATTGAGGGGCAATTTGGATACACCTTGGTCTGGCTTGGACAAGATAATATCCAAAATTATATGGATATTGACTACTCAAGTGCCAGGACATCTTGATCAACCGTAACTGACTGTTCAAAAGTAACATACACTGTATGCAAACCACTGAAGCAATGTGGTCTGCCACGAAACACTTTCCTAAGGAACGACTTCGTCTCTACCCTAGATAACCTTGTGACTCTATCATGCTCCGCAGGACTAGACTACGAGAAGGAAGCATGAACAAGACCTGTGCGCTAATCTCCATACCAAATTTCTGATTGCCATACTGGGACCCTCTCGTTTCCCATGAGATTGGACCTTTACACATTTCTGGTGTATTCGTTCATACGCCCGTGCTGGTGAAATTTGTCCACTGTCCGCCTCTTGGTACGTGTCCTACCCCTCCTACTTATTGAATACCTTCTGTACTACCTAGGTACGTGGGTATTGTGCATCAGCACATCCAACTACGTTTCGACGGTAACCCTTCTTTCCGTACCTATGGCTGTACTGCACAGCAACAACCGCACTACAAGCACTACTGTACACAAACCTATCCTAATTGTCGAGACGCGGTGAGAGCCTTCACTAGTATTCACGGTGAATCAGGCTTCCCGTGCTCTGATTGGCCAGGCACTGATTAGTCAGCTGCTCCGTGCGCGCACCATAGATATTCTCCCTTCTCCCGTAGCTCCAATACAACAAGTTCACGCACGTTTTCTCCACCTTCATCAGGTTATGAGCCCTCCTCTATCACGATAAAGTGCTCTAGAGGTGCGATTTCCGCAGCAGCAGAACCGATCAGTTGAACACAACATCAGTCACTCGCGCGACGACGACGACGATAAAGTCACGATGGCGCCATCCACAGCGATGGACGCGATCCCAAAGCTACAAGCAGATGGTAGCAACGCTTACCACTGGGAAGCAGCATTGAAGCTGTACGCAAATATTCACTCTATCGGAGGTCTACTCGACGGCAGCTACATGGTCACATACCCAGAAACACCTCACTATCAAACTGAACCGACAACTACGTCATCGGCATTCAACACGCCACAACTTCTGCTTGACGCTCAGCAACGCGTACGAGCCCACAACAAAGAAGTTACTACACAGTACGACAAAGACTATGAGCTCTATCGTATTTACAACTCCCGAGAATCGTCTCTCACCTTGGCTATACTCAATACAGTACCAAGATCAGTATGGGACAACGTCATGAACCTGCCCACAGTGAGGCAGAAGTACGAAGCTATTACAGCTCGTTATCGTGAACAAGGCGTCACTGAAGAGTGTACTATCTGGGCAGATTTTTTCAAGCTGAGAGCTCAAGACTGCCCCTCTACAGCCAACTTCACCGACAAGTTTAAAGCAGGACTTGCAAAGCTTGACGTCATCGCAGACTGTAAGCTATCTAACAAAGCTCGAGTGTATCAGTTCATTCTTGCTATCAACAACGCCTACCCGGACTACGGACGCGATCGCCGCGCTGATCTGCGCCGCAACGTTACTCTGAACGTCGATCGCATGTGCAGCGAGCTCATTGACGAGGCCCGCCGCGACGACCCAATCAAGACCATTAACACGTCTATCCGAGCTTCTGGGGGTGACAACAACCGCAGTCAGCCTCTTGGTGATAACAACGACGCCAACAGAAGCGCCACCCGTGGCCGCGGCAATCGAGGCAATGGGCGAGCCCAGCGCGGACGAGGTAGAGGTTCTGAGGGTGCGACTCAGAGACCTACAAATACCTCCCCATACTGCAAGCACTGCGACTGCAACCATACTGGAGGAGGTGATAACTGCTGGTACACCTTTCCTCACCTCGCCACTGAAGCCTGGCGTCAGCGCCAAGCTCAACAACAAGGCAAACAACAGCCTACTAGCACCAACGCCGCAGCTATTAATGCTGAAGGCTTTGCCTTTACAACGGTTCATTTGTCAGAGAAGGTACAGAGTCTCACCAAGGAGACCTCTAACTTCAAACAACGATTCATTATCGATACTGGAAGCAGCGATCACATCTGCAATGATCGCAGCAAGTTCCAAATTCTACACGACACTGCTCCTGCTACAATTAATACTGGAGCCGGACCTATTACTGCTAAGCAGGTAGGTACCATTCAGATCACTGTCGTCACGTCAGAAGGTGTACTCAACAAGGTCTCCTTCACTAACGTGCTATACGCTCCGGACATGTTTGTATCAGTCCTCTCCCACTCTAAACTACGAGCGAAAAATCTCTATTACCACGGCTGGGACAGCAAGCTGTACCTCATGCCATCACAACAAGAGATCGCCTTCACACCTGAGATCGACAAGATCCCTACGCTCCTCCTCGCCAACACAGAGCTTGA